GCTCGCTTTGCATTCCGCAATGCCTCCGCGCCCTTCCGCAGGCCGGGTGCCCAGGGCTTCCGCTGGCAGAGCTCCGAAGCCGGTGCTGGTGAGCAGCAAAATGCCTTCCAGCGCCTATGGAACAGCCCTGTTGGTATGAAGACTGTCCACTTCTGGTAAGGATTCTAAGCATGCTGCTTCTCTTGTCTTATTGCTACTACGAATTGACGCTAACTTCTGTTTTGCAGGGCCCCTGTTATGAAGGTACGATATCCCGATTTCCTTATTTGATATGCTGTCTATACCCTGAACCACCCTTCCGGATACAATATCTCTATCAAACGCCGCTATATCCTGCGAGCATTTTCCATACACTTGCTGAGCATCATGGCTAACATATATCCCTACAACAGTGGTGTCTGGTCATCGCCGGTATCTCCGACTTCGCTCGTCCCGCCGAGAAGCTCTCCCTCACCCAGAACGCTGCTCTGATGGGTACTGGTGCCATCTGGACTCGCTGGTGCATGATCATCAAGCCCCGTAACGTTCTGTACGTGGAACCCGATAGCAGATCCGCCGGGCACCAATGCTAACACGATATAATTCTATAGGCTCGCCGCTGTGAACTTCTTCCTCGGATGTGTGGGTGCTGTTCAGGTGACTCGTATCTTCCTTTGGCAGCGCAGCCAGTCTGATTCAACTATCGAAGCCGCCAAGGAGATCGAGCATGAGGCTGTTGACTCCGTTAAGGCCACCGCCGGTGCGGCCGAGGGCGTTGTGAAGAAGGCTGTTGAGAAGTCGACTTAGATGTGAAATGGATTCTGCGTTGGCGGTAAGGGGGCATGGAAGCGTGTTCCTGAATACATCTAGACCAGTATCTACAGGGACATCTTACCTGCGCTGAGGTGGGTGTTTAGGAGGATTTCGGGGTTGAGTGAGCTCGCTCGTTGGAGATAATGGTTGTTTCATCTCCCCCGGGCTTAGAATCTGCTCCTTTATTGGACAGCTGTTGTACATATAAAGCATGTTTTAAAGTGATTGGTTACTGTTCCTTCTGCGAGACGTGGCCAAGAAACTCCGAAGAATTTTTAGTAGCATTTTGCTTGTAAACCTAACTATCCTCTGATTAGTCGTTGCTATTAAGAAAGCCGGACGGCATCTATATTCATTTGAAATACATTGGATTTAGGGGCTCTACTGGCTCTGCCCAATTTATCCGGGATTTTCCTCCCAATCGGGGAAATCGCGCCAGATATTCCTCCTATCAGACTTGCTTGGGGACCACCCTCATGTAACGCCAGTCAGTTTATCCCCGGTCTGCTCTTCGACGAGACGGAAACTCACCATACAAGCCATGACCATGCCCCGGTTTCTCCACACATTGCGGAGTCATTAGCTCGTTTCCCCGGAGCAAATTGAACGAGATGGGGTTACCCCATCTCCTGACCGCCAAGGGCGCTGCTTAGCGTTGATCCCGGTCGAGCTAGATCGGAGTAACAGAGGAAAAAAATTGTCAATGGCGAGACTATATATAAGCTGTCTTGGAAGTTCCCAAACCCTATCTTTAGCCAAGAAGATTGCCAATCCCACTAAGAGCCCCTAGATTATCTTGACACCAACGATGAAGATTTCAAATACTTTGACCCAGGCCTTGGGGTTTTTGTTGTCAATCAGCACCACAGTTGAGGCTAAGGAATACTCTCGAAGCGAGGCGTGCCACCCAAACCATTCATTCAAGCCCCTTCCGGTCAGCCATGCCAGGACTCGCACCTGTCATGTAGCCAACCATGGCAATGGACACGACGATTCAGCCAATGTTCTTACCGCATTGAAGAAATGCAACAACGGAGGAAAGGTCATTTTTGATGCGGGCAAGACATATACGATTGGAAAAGCACTTGACATGACTTTCTTGAAGCATGTGGATCTCGGTATGCAATGCGCGTTGGAGTTCGATACGAGACGAGTGAGTACTTACGCAAGCTGTAATAGAAATCCAGGGTCATGTTCAATTTAGCAATGACACGGATTACTGGCAAGCAAATGCTTTCAGCCAGGTCTACCAAAACGCCACAACGTTCTTCCAGCTCGGTGGTGAGGATGTCAATCTCTACGGCGAGGGCACCCTGGATGGTAACGGTCAGGTCTGGTATGACTTATATGCAAAGGATGCCCTCATACTGCGGCCAATTCTGGTGGGTATAATTGGGCTAAATGGAGGTACTATTGGACCTCTCAACCTTCGTTACTCACCTCAGTGGTATCACTTCGTGGCAAACTCATCCAACGTCCTCTTTGACGGAATTGATATCAGTGGGTTCAGCAGCAGTGCGCATGAGGCTAAGAACACCGATGGATGGTAAGTTCATTTGCATTAAAAGAGAAGCTAGCTGCAGTTAACTAACACCTCCAATAGGGACCTTTATCGTTCGACGAATATTGTTATCCAGAACTCTGTGATCAACAATGGAGATGGTACGGTTCCCTTGAAAGATTTGACCCGATCGTCCTTTGCTAACCATGTCAAAGATTGTGTCTCATTCAAGCCCAATGTTACCGACATTTTGGTTCAGAACCTTCATTGCAACGGCTCCCACGGTATCTCTGTTGGCTCTTTAGGCCAATACCCGGGCGAAGTTGATATTGTGCAGAACGTGCTCGTGTATAATATTTCCATGTTCAACGCATCGGTAAGTTTAGTGCCGCGGGTGAGATAATTATGTTTCTAACAATATTATGAAGGATGGTGCGCGTATCAAAGTTTGGCCTGGGGCTTCCGCTGCGCTCTCTACCGATCTCCAGGGAGGCGGCGGATCGGGCCTGGTGAAGAACATTACCTACGACGGCATGACTATTGACAATGTCGACTATGCCATCGAAGTGACCCAGTGCTATGGCCAGAAAAATTTGACACTCTGCAACGAGTTCCCCGTACGTATCCATCAATCTCATTTTGTCACTATCTACTTTCATTCCACTTTGATAGCGTCACTATCACTTGTTTCTGGTTGCCGGAGGCTAACTAACATATACATCACACAGAGCAAACTTGCCATCGAAGACATTGTCTTCAAGAATTTCAACGGTGTCACCTCCGGTAAACGTGACCCTTATGTTGGAACGATTGTCTGCTCAAGTCCCGATGTAGGTCCTTGAACACCACAGAATATAACTCACCAACTGACTTGTATAGGTTTGCTCAAATATCAACGCCAGTAATATTGATGTCGTTAGCCCCGATGGGGATGATCAGTTCACATGCACAAATGTGGGTTTATCTTGAAAATTGTTGCAGTGTTGACAACACATTTACTGACTTATTTCCTCCATCTCTAGGTTGATAACAGTTTGCTGGATGTGAAATGTGCTTCCTCTAGCTAGATCAGGTAGCCCAGAAAACAATATTTAGAGTCTTGTTGGCAAATAGAACAATCAATCATGATGTTTCGATACAGATGGCCATTTTCCCTCCCGCCGACACCACATATATGCGATCTGCAAGCTGCAGGCTGCAAGCTGCAAGCATCAGCTACAGTTCGTCATTCTCAGCCGCTTTTGCCCTTTATCAATTTGTTATCGCGCACAAGTTACCCTGCAATTTGCCCGAAGTCATTGACAATCTTCGTGACATGATATGTGAGTTGCCCCAAGAGGCTACAGCACAGCCTACACCTGTTCGACAGTAGAGACTTGTTTCTGGAAAACTTAGGGTTTCTCTCCTCCCTCCCAACTTATTCAATCCTTCCACACAAATTACAAACTATCTCGAGGCATACGACATATGACAGCGTTTCCCGCATGCATCTGTAGTACATTACAGTGAAAATATATGTAATGCAACCGATGTGTAAGTGTGTGTATTCAAAGTTGTACATTCAATTGAAGCCCTCCAAATGGGACACCTACAATGGCTAGCTAGTCAGCTGCATATCGAGGTATGCCGAACTATACGCTAGCGATGAGAGCTATTCTAAGCAAACACCACACACGCTAATTGTCATTTTATTTGAAGAACGATAACATATTGCCTCAATTACTGTGTATTATATATATCTGGGTACCGCTGGGTATTTTGTCCTGATACGTGTGCAAACGTGGGATTTATATATTATGATAGTACTGTCTATATTACTATAATAGTATGATAGATATAATATGTACCATAAAGCCTCATGTAGGTAGGTACGCAATAGTGGCTAAAGAAACCGCTTGTATTTCCTCATTGTAGCTCTCCTTTTCTCTCTCTGAGCTTGAATTGATTCGATCATGGGGGTTCTTTTCTAGCACGCAACCCTGCCAAGCGATGAGATCATCCCTCATTTTTAGAATACGGTTGTATATATGCGTGGCACGGTGATAGATGTTTCATCCAAATTTGATTGATGACATAGTGGGGACAGAAGGATTTACTAGAATGGCTATCGGAAAAGGGAGGAAGAAATTTCTTTCTAAGCTCCTCCCTAGTGAGGTAGACGAATGATGGATTGGGTAAAGGCACGAATCCAAATTAAATACATTTGACTTTGTCTTGCTTTATTTTACTTTACAAGTTCCCATCTCGTGGAGATGGTGAATTGAATGATATGTTTTCCCCGAGAGTGAATGTCACTTTTCAGGACCTGAAGCCTGCTTCTGTATTCCACCCATGCTGTTTTTCTTTTGGAAGACAATTAGACATAGCAGTTGGAAATATCTAGCAGTCGGTGACCAATAAGTACGACGCACGCTTCTCAAGTGATTGTGCCTATGCTCGTCTATATCCCATATTAGCCCGCAATTTAGCACGTCAGCTGTACGTCTAACTAGTTGGCTCTGACCTACTTTCGTACTTGGAAATAAACTAAACCATGAAATTTAACTACTAGAAATGCTAAAAGGGTTACAAACCATCTTAGATTTGGGGGTAACAAGCTCGAATGAATACAACAAGATCAGAGGTGGTAGGTAGACCATTAATTACTATTAGGAATAGCCCTCCAGCTAATTGACTATGTAAACGGCACAACTTTAAAAAGAACCCATTACTTCTGAGCACGCTTCCATACATCGTCCAGGTCGTTGCCAATTGCACGAATGGCCTCCTTCTCGAGCTCACGGTGAGAGAGTCCAGTACGCTTCGAGACCTTGGATTTCGACTCCTCACGAGACAATTCCACTATAATCAAATACTGTTAGTCATCTATCTAGTATCAACAAATGGAAGAGAGCATACCGTGCAGATAGACAGCGGCCTTCTTGCCAGAGAACATCGCATGTGGCACATTGGTGCTGCCATCGCTGTTGGCATCGCCAACGGCAAAGACACCGGTCTCACTGGTACGCATTCCGCTGGTAACATTGATCTTGTCACTGACGATGCTCAGGTTCATCTTGGCTGGAAGTGTCGAGGTCTGAACAGTTGGGACGTTGATAATGATAGCATTCCGGTCAACAGGCTTTCCGGTAGTGAAGTGAAGGCGGAACTTGTCAAACTGCTGGTCACCGTTTTCGCCTCTGTTGTCCCCACCATCCTCAAGGCGCTCAATGGAAGAGATTGTGCGGTTATCAATGGTAGTGTTCCAGGCGGCAAGTTGTTCCTTCCAGTCTTCGACCTTGGCCGTTGCCCGGGCCTCACCATCAGCAGTTTGCGAGCCGTTCACGAATGCAACGATATCGGTGTAGAGAGTGTGGGTCTCCAACACGTTGCTCAGCATATCGGTGATATCTCCGATCATTCCAAATGGCTGGTCCCTGTGTTCGTAGCCATCGCACCACGGGCACCAGAAGATGCCGTGGCCCCATCCCTCCCGAAGGCCAGGAGTCGAGGGCAGAACGTCACGGACACCGGTACCGAGCACGATCTTACGGGCAGTGTAGTTCTTGCCCTTGCTGTCGGTCACGGTGAAGGCAGAGAAGTCTCCCTTTCCGAACGGAACGATTGATTCCACAGTTTCGTTGGCGAAGTGAGCAGTTGGATACTTCTTGATCTGCTGGAGAGCCAGACCTCTGAAAGTAGCCGGTGGGGTACCTGATGAGGGTGAAATATGTTAGGCAAGAAACTTTGTGTTGGGATAGAGCTAGGATCCAATCTCACCGTCGAAGCCAATGACGTCGTGCATCTCCCGGGTCGGAGCATTGCGGTACTCCTGGCTATCAATCAAGAGAGCAGTTCGGCGGACACGAGAGACACCACTGAGTGCACTGAGACCCGCGGGACCACCGCCGACCACGATGACATCGTAATCGGTCTTGGGAACTTCCACAGCGCTGGCACATGCCAGGAGGGAGACAAAAGCGGATGCGAGTGTTGCCTTGAAGACCATGGTGAAGGATAGACGCGACTACTCAGTTACTACAAAAGCACCAGGCAGCGCCGGACAAGGCCATTTATAGTCCGCAATGTTGCCCATGTCTTACAGAGTGGAGCGCAATAAAACAGCTCAAACAGGAGCAGAAGTGTGGGGACCCTAGTGGAGTTCGTTCATCTCCAGCTGCGGTGGCTGAAGAGATCGTCGGGATCAACAAGATCGCCATAGATTGTCAGGGATCGGGATATCTTACAGCTGGACTTTGGAGTGATGCCCCGGATGTGGAGAATACCTTTACTAGCAATTCATCTGGGGAAGCATCAGAAGTGAAGCTTTGAAAGGAATATCTAGAACTTCATACCTTTATCAATCACGCCTTCGGTAAGTAATCCTTTGAACGCCAAGTGTCTCTCAATTGGAGACTCCTTGGCTTTGTGGGGGCACTAGTGCTTTCGTGCAGAATAGTATTTGCTCGCATCTCAGCCACGTAGAGTGTCCCTTGGTTTCTGTCCTTCCGGCTGCTCCCGCGTCGATCTTTCGCGATATTGAGAGCACTAATGCTAGGGTACTCTGCAGAGCTCAATCTCACATTCACTTTGTGTTGCATTGCAGATAATTCTGATTGGTAGTAGTCTGGTATGGGAGAAGATACTCAAGGCTGTATGCTCTGCGGCATACGGGTCGATTCAGCACTCGTAGTTCAGCTTCATACCCGACTTGCATACATGGGAACCCAGGTGCACTGCCCTGGAAGTGGATTCAGAGAGGTGTAGGAGTGTGGATTCTCAATCTGTATCTATCTGCTACTTGTAGTTAACCTCATAATCTCAATGCTTACATAACAACACATGGTAAAAGAAGAAGAGGCAAGGGCAAGTGCGTAGTGAGGAGCATATTTCCTCACCACAGTATGTAGTGTTGTAACATCAACATCAGGTGTCGCCACGCTATAAGTACGTACAACATACAGAATAGACACAGTCATTGACCTTGACTACTAGTTATTCAATTCATACACAATTTCACTAAATCCACAACACCCCCGGCCTATAAATATTTCTTACACACAACCTCATGTTTCCCCGTCGGAATCTACACAAAATTAGGTAAACGTCTTGATGAGTGGCAAAACAAGAAAAAAGGCTATATCACGAATTAATTGGTCTGGAGTTACGCATGGAATACTCCGTAAAGATTGATGTGATGTGTCGAAGCTCTTTCAGCTCCACATGTTCGGAGGATCTTGAATAATCGGGCACAATTCCCGAGGTCCTGCTGCCAGGTCTTGATTGGCCATTGCATTTCTCCGTGTATACAGAAACAGCAGGAGGCAAGGGTGAAATAGAAGCTAAAATTGCCCTGGAAGGTTTGGCAAATACTAGGTCGAGTCAACATAGCACATTGGTGTCCGATTGTCCATTTACCTGCCATAATTTGTGTAGATATAGGAAGACAATGGTGGGTATCATTCACAGCGAGGATTCATCATGTAGGATAAACAGTACAATGCGCAAAATGTCGAAAAGTTCTCCCAGACTATAGAGGCCAAGTTATCACAGCCCCACTTGTAAATTCAAGTGTAAGTCCCGAACGTCTCAGCCCATCTAACAGAGTCTACCTGCTTTACAAACATCTTCGGTTCTGTCACGGTAATTATGCATCTTCCTGGTCATCAAGAAGCAACACCTTGAGCTTCTCCAATTTATCCTCGCAATGTACTTCCATCTGCATCACCACATCCACGGCATCCTTTCTGGTGACCAGCAGTTGTGATACCAGCCAAAAGTTATATCCATTCTTATAGAACCCCATTGACGCCCATTCATCACTTGTTACTCCATTGCGCAGTGCGATCCAGTAGTCACGCCAGCGGGATAGAGCATTCTGGATGGCAATGAGGATAGAATCTTCAGGAATCGTGGTGTCTTTTGTGTCAACTCCGACACTTTCCCTGGGATTCTTGAAATAGCCCATGCGCATGGAACAACCAAGCAGTGTCATATGGGTGTTAATAAATGTGAATAAAACTAAACATGGAGTCAGCTGGTGCAAAATCCAAAAGAAAACTTTTGGCGGACATACTATGAATCAAGATAAACATGTCCAAAGCAGTGAGGTCCATCGGATTCGACTCAGGTGCTTCGTCGAACAAATTTTTGAAGGCTTGTGAAACCGTAAGGCCGCGTGAAAAGCGAAAGTTTGGCTCCGCGAACGGATGCTCGGAGAAGAAAAGCGATTCATCGCAGGGCAGATCGCATTCCATTTCAGTGTGTGTCAGGCGACACGGGAAGTTCTGAAAGAAGAAGAATGCGCAATCGAGCAGCGAAATTATAGAAATAGTTCTGTTAATATTAGTTAAGGGAGACCGAAGAACGTTCCAAGGTTGGAATGGAGGAAGATAAATACCTAATCTGACTCTCTTTTTGTATCCACAAGTGCTCCAGAACCTGGTCATCGGGAAGGTGACGGGCTTTGACAAGCTCAATCCGGCGAGCAATCTTCACAACCTCACCGAATCGACTTTCCATCACGCGGGTTCGAGACAAACGGCTTCCTGCCCAGTATTGGACAATGTTGATGATAACCCCGGCCTGCAATTTCCTGAACCAATCCCAATCACAGTTTTGTTCGCCAAAACACCGGCTGCCTGAGAACGTGCCGCCGATTTCACTCTCTGCCGAGAAAACATCGCTCGCAAAGATAAAGAGCTCTGCAAAATCTAGCACTCTCTTCGCGATGTATACTTCCCTCTGGTCGCTACTGTACATTGCGCCCATAAAGACTACCGCAGCTAAGAGCGGTGGGGGAACTGTCTCCGGATCAAAGGACATAGGAAGTATGGCACAACTGGGTTGCCAGTATTTGAAATAGAGCGTAATGTATTTTCGTATGCGCGCAGTGGTCAATAGAAAGTTGAGATTCGCAGATACCTCGTCCTGCGCTGTAGAGTCAAGCGGGACCTGCCACGCTTGTGTTAATATTAAATGAATTAATGTCGTCGCGAATGGTCGCTCCGGTTCAAAGGTCGGTGGATCTCCGGGCAATGTAGTAGGATGCTGCCCTGAAGGGATGGCGGACTGGGAGCTCAGTTCATCGGCATGATAAGGATTCTGCGTGGGCTTCGGTCCATCACCAAAAGGGCGGTGGAGAAAATTCAGGAACGTATCTTGGAAGAATGGCGGCGCGGCAGAGTCGGAGTCAATGAAGCCAGAGCCGTATTCCGGCCGAGCGGTATCGATGTTGTATGGAAACCCTGTGCCTTGCGATTGCTCGAGGCCATTTGTATTATGATAGTTGAGGCTGCGCGTACGATCGCTGTGTGGGGGAAGTCGAAAGTTTTCTGTGAAGCTATCGGTGCCACCATTAAGTAGGAACTTGATCGATCCTCGGTCGGATGATGGCTCTTCACAGATTTCGGGTTTCATCGATACTTCTATATGGTTTGTATGAGACTTCCATTGCATCCAAGTTGACTCAAAGCTTGTTGTACCTTCTTCGATCCCGAGGTGGCTCGCACCTGCCGTTCGCTCGTTGTTGCACATCAAGTTTCTTTTCTGACACGATCCGCAAGGGCTTCTTCCATCGCACCGCAGTTTCATCGCGGTACACTATTTCGACCACAACAAAAGTCAGTTCCTATGGTGAAGTTTCATGCGATCTAGTCGCGGACTAACCGATTGACAGGCATGTCGCCGCCTACCCCTCTGACCCGTCTCCGGAATTTCGCGACCTTCACGCCTGGCGCAATCGGTGTAATGGACGCGTAAATTGTCACTAAATTCATGTCAGAATCCAGAGGTAGTATTATAGATTGTCTTGGCTTATCTAACCAACGCGCGAACGAGGTATTGCAGAATATACAGGAATATGGTTTCTGGCCCGAATCTGTTGAGGTTCAGTAAGTGGCATGGGTAGCTGCAGGACGGGGCATACGTCGCAAATGGTGGCGTTTGAGGTGATCAATGCGCGTGAATGCACGTTGACAGACATCACAGCGGAAATGCTTGTCCGTCGGCTTCATGGTGGGCCGGGGAGGAGGGGGATATCCGGGGTAAAGGAGAGACCTGAGACCTCGGGAGGGAACGATATCGGAGTGGGGAGGTAAGGGTGAGGTATTGGTATTTCAGTGGTGCCCATAAGGAAAAGGTAACTTTTGGCCCCTTTTAGCGCCAATAGATACGTGACAATATTACCAGTTGAGTACGGTATGGTCAGTTCCCCGAGATCACTATCTGTGACGCCAGGTTTGATCAACGAAGATAGGGGATTACTTGGACATGAATAAGGGTCTCTTATTCGAGTGCTCCATCGTGTCCTTTTGAAATACGCTTCGAGGGATTGAACATGTCAACCAACACCAGATGGAGAGAAGATAGATTTTTTAATTTAATTCAATAGAAACTGCAAGATAATGAGTATGACACTAAGAGTATGGGACAATCTTGGTAAGCTACTAGACCTTTCTTCCATAACGTTCATTGCTGACCTCAAGTAAACAGTCACCGTGTGGTTTCCTCCCAAGCAAACTTTATCGTTGAGATCTCAGAGCGAAGTGATCACCTTGCGGTTAAGAATAGCGTCGTTCAGTCGTCGATGGACTCTTTGGACGTCCCCGAACCGGATGTATCCACACGACTCACTCTCCAAGTGATTGAACAAAGCACCGAGAGAGACAAACTCTTTATCGCACCCACCACGCCAATTGAGGCAATGGTAGAGCTTCTCCTTGTGGAATGGCGAGTTGAGATGCGAGTTCAGACCGGTCATCGAGTTGAAACCCCTTTGGCACAGGTAGCACACCCAGCTTGTACCATCAAAGGCGAGATTCGTGGCATAGTAGTGTACGTTCTGGTCATCGCGCCATCCAATCTGCTTATTTGTGACAAGCCCGTTAGGGTCGAGGCGTTGGAGCATGTGGTGAATTGTCTCTCGGTTCCACTGGGCAGCCTTCGGGCAGGTACCATATTCGACGTGATGAGTGACGCCACTTGCAGTGACAAAGTGAGCGTTGCAAAATGGGCACACGATCTCAGTGCCCCGATGAATCTTCGAGTTCAAGTGCTATTCGTAGATAAGACGGACACAAATTAGTCAAAATCCTACGACCAACCAGAGCCTAAGGGCCGGGAATCTCCCTGAGATCGGCTTGGTTCTCGTACCTGGCGAAGACAGTTCTCGTTCATGAAGCGCCGATCGCACCCAGGGCAGTAGTTCTGGTAGTGTCCCTGTGCCTCCATATGCTGGTTCGCAGCTTCATCGGTATGGAACATTTGGGAACACGTCTCGCAGGAAACTGTTGGCTTCCAATGGTCCTTGGCATTCATATGCTGATTGGCAGCAACCTGCGAAGAGAAGGTACGGATACAGGTCTCACATTCAAAGACTGGTGCCCGGTGGTCAAGCGCATCCATGTGCTGCTCGCAGCTACGTTCAGTCTGAAAATATCGAGGGCAAGTCTCACATTTTACCCAATGGTCGTATGGGTCCACGTGAGCAGCGCAGTCCTCACGGTAGCGGAACTCGAAGTCATAGGTGCCACGTTCGTACATCTTCACTTGACGACATAGAACCGGATGAGGAGATATGGATAACAAAGACCGTGTGATGAATCAATTGGTAAGAAGCAGGATGATACGAAAGGATTAGAGATGTCTTGCAGAGAGGAGAGAGGTGTAAAATGGAAAGAGAATGAGGGATGTGGGCAGACAGGTTTTGTTTGTCGCATAGCAAACGCCTGTCAAACCGTGTACGCGCGGGTACTAGTTCCAGTCTCGAGGGGATTGTTATTTTTATTAGCATATCTTTCTTGGCCCACTTTATGTTACTTCGTTTGATGTAGTTTTCTCATAGTCTAACAGCAGAGAGGATCGAAGCAAGGCAAGAAGAATACACACCGAATTCCACAATCTGGATCCGCATTGTCATGATACTCCGAGGAAGCCTGGTGCTCTAGCAGATAGCGATTGAACAGCTTGTGTTCTGGGATTCATAATGACCTAATTCTATTTGGCATACGGCTATCATCCTCGATGGAAATCTTGCTTTGATCCGTCACTGTAAATGGGTCGTAAGTCCAGCGAGGTTTTATGCAAATGTGCTGCATCCAGACTCGTCGTAGAAGTGGATAGACTTCATCTGATTGTTCGATGATGACATCCAACTATTTCTAATATACGGAACATGACTCCTCATTGTTAAGGCTTTGCTGTCGCGGCTGAGCTATAAAATTTGTGGGGAAATTTACTACTTGGGAAACCCAGGAAGTTGAGGCAACTTTATAGAGCCTAGCTGAATAACAGAAAATACTTGCAAATGAATTTCGTGCCGCGGAAGATGGGCTATGTGTATGAGGAAATACGGAGTCGCACGCCATCTTTCGGTCATGATATGTACAATGTAGAGCCTAGCTTATTATAAGATCAGTTGATGTTTCAAAGAATCTAGTGTCCATGTATTAAATTAGATCTCATCTACAATGAATATGTAGATATAGAACATGTAAAAGTGCAAATTCATCCATCATTGCCCACGTTTCGGCATATCCACCAGCTCCACATCACTATTCGCTGGCGACCGAGACTCATAATTCACCGAGTAGGTCACAGACTTGTTTATATTGCTGTTACCCGTGGGCATTTTGTTGTAGTACTCAGCCATGTTAGATGGATTCGTTCGGTTCGATGATCCCCCTAGGAATCGGGGGAACCATCGGCCGAGGAGAGCTCTGAATGCAGGTAGGCAAGCGCACATAACAGAGATCTGAGATTCGATGACGGACCAGTGCATGAGGGGGTATAGACCGAGAGTCTCATTGGCGCCCCAGCGGTTGGTCCAGAAGACGACGACTCGGATTATCGCGATGATTGTTAGACTGAGAGTTTGGTTAGTGACAAGTAACTGAAAACAAAGCCAAGCTAGCGAGTACATACACAGAGCCCACGATAAACATCGCCGCCACAGTTAGCTTCTTTCGCAGAGGCAACTGCAACTTGATCACCTCATACACCGGCATGACGATCAAGATGACGTCGACAAAGATGTTCACCAGACAGTTAACAAGAACCGCGTCGATAAAATTGAGGCAATGTCCAGGTTCCTCGTGCATCCAGCCAACCCATGTTAGCCGTGTTGGCAAGCAACGGAAGGCATCCACTGAAGCCCAGGTGATACCGATCGCGGCGTTGGTACCGATGAGCGCATATGCTAAATAGCGGAATGTGCCTGCTTGGAAGATGCGGAGTAGAAAGAGGCACACGGAGATCTTTGCGAGGGAAATTTGCACCTTATACATAACGGCCATAGCTTGGAAATACTGTTCTTGTTAGATTAGAACTGAGCCTTGGAGAGGGGGCCGAACCTGGTAGAACTTGGTGATTGAGGGAAAAGGGACGTCCCAGATATTTCGTCCGAAGCCATTTCGGATCACTGATTTGTTAGTTCTTTTTTCTTGTAAAATCCGGTGATATGGATGACCAATAGTGCCGGCTTACTGTAGATATCCAGAACATATATCGCAGCTCCTATGACCTGCAAGGCTGTTAATACCGGGCAAGAGAACATCAAGAAGTGACACTGACATATGAGACAATTATTGTGTAGTCATCCCAACCCCATCCGCCAGCGAGGCCGCCGAACTTGGCGATCATTCTCATGACGAAGAAAAACGACGCAAGAATAAAAGGGATTAGAGTCGAGGCGTTTACCACCGCGGGGCCTTTGTGCGGTGTTATATTACATTCTTTTTCATAGAGACGTTTTGTAGCTAGCAGAGTTAGAGTAGACTTGGAATATCAATCATATCAATCACGATAGGGACGTACTGAAGAATTCCTTTGACGTGCAGTTACTTTCAGCGCAACCCAAAAGGGCTGTGGTACGAGAGCTACTAGCACAGAAGCATGATGTATTTTTGCTCAGTGAGCAATCAGAGAATAACTGTTTGTCACAAGTGATCTAGCACATGCTCATTAGCAATAAATACAACTGCGTTTGGGAGACGTACGTACCGTGCAAGATGGGAAGACAGTTGTATTCCAGTCTGCTGCATGAATCCCCACTGTAAGCAGAGCTACAAGGGCGAAAAGGAATAAATGAACCCTCATGATAGTAACAGACGTGTTCAAAAACAACGTTGAAGGAAATAAGAGGGGGAGGATTTTTCCCCCTGGGCAGTAGCGGGTTTTGTTCTAACTTTGATACGAATGGCCCCGACTCAGTAGCGTGGACACTCCTTGGACATTAAGCTTAACTACTTCGAACTATGGCGGCGGGAATTACTTCCTAGGTATAGTAGATCTCGATTGGCAAACATAAGTCGACGATCATGATTGGAAAACAAGGAAATACTCCGCTCTCAAAGCTGGTTCAAGTGAAACGAGCCCTCCAGGGCTGATTCCGGTGAGCGCCGAAGCGGGTACCCTTTTCCAGAATATTTCCGCGATGGGTTCTGGGAGGAGGGCCATGCGACGGCAACCACATAATTGCAAGAAAGAGATTGAATGTTCCCACCTAGAACCATGGTTAGGGAATCCCTCGGTAGTTCCTGTACAGTTGGATGCTGAGGATCAGATCGGATGTCGATTTTTTTCATCGCCAAGAAAGCCGACGGACTCCAGACCTCGACAGATCGGCGCCAGTATGGGCCCCAATTTGGTCCGGACAAATGGAATGGAATGAAGATCAACAATATTTAAATGAAACTACCGGGTTTAATAACCAAAACCCTCAATTTGATTACGTACATATCAATGTTCAACTATTCATGGACGAAAACAACAGTGGCAATATTCGTATCGATGTACCAACGTCCAGCATACTTCACGCAGCAATATTCGTTGCTAAATGAGGGTAACGTATGAAATACACCAGTGATATTGGATGTTTGGTATAGTGTTAGACTCATGGGCAGGGATGGACACTACTTAAAGAATGCGCTAGATCAAAGGGAGATATCAAGCTCTAAAAATGCTCCACTAGTCCAGATTCAGGATCAATAAGCCGGGTTTTTGTTAGCATGTGCTGCAATTGATCATTATTGTATATTGTATGGCTAGGAAGGGGAGAGCTGAAGTCGCGGCAATTATACTATATTTGTAGCACGCTTGTTGAACTAGTATTGGACTATTGGACCACAGCTGAAGGCAGGGTCGCAGATCTTGGTCTTACTCTACTTTGTACATCTTAAGCCGATCATAAATAAGGAGAGTGTGGAGATTCACGTCAGTATGTGCCCGAAATTCGACTGACGGCACGGGACGCATTACGTACCTAAATTAGACGAGATCTCCGATGCTAAGCCTCCTAGTTCATTCTGTGTCTTGGAGCCCGGGCCATTGAGCCCTAAAGTTCTAATGGCTGTTTTTAAATAAGACCATGGACTCTGTTGAAGAGATAGATTATGCACACTCAAAGACCAAGTATTCATCACTTAGCTCGAGCGTTTCGTTAGGTAAGGCAAGTGTGTATGTATCATTTCCAAACGCCAGATTGCTTGAATATGCGCCAAATTTTTGATCGGCGTTCTAAGCTTGGTATGAGACACCGGTGGCTTTTAGCGCTGACGGCCACCCCCTTTACAGACCATATAGGGTTTCACAAAAGTCCAAGTGGCGGGGAAGCACATATGGCATAAAACAATTTTGACCCTCATACGCGAAAAGCAGATTCTTCAACGAAGACTTTACGTGCGACTTTGCTATCACTAACCAGTGTAGCTAAGCGTAGCGGATTGTTCAACATCACCCGCTATCAATTGCAGTACCCATCAACGGGAGCGACGGCTGGCAAGCCGACAAGTCACACTAAAACAGATTTGTCCAATTCCGAACTATCAGTGCTAGTCGTGGATTTACAGTATAGCTCGTATTCTTATAAGGTTTTCACCTGGCCTGTCTGATAACTCCGTGTTTTGACGGAACTCCGATTACGAGTATATTGTACAGAGACAATGTCATTATGGTCTTTCTCAGCCGATTATCTTCATTCTAATAATAGTTGGGCCGATATCGGAAGCCACCGGAAGTAGGGTGACCGTCTTTTTTAGGTGCCAGGTTGTCTCTGCTTGGTAGGAGTCTTTGTGATATTTCGCTTCGCCGATGCAACTATCCGATACATCCAGTATAAATTTGTGAAGAAACAATGGCCACCCTTTTGATTATAGCAATCTTGCCCGAGGCCGCTCTCATTGCTATATACAGCTGTATCTTTAGAGTCAAAGTACTAGTATTGTCTAGATCGACACGATTTGGGCTAATATTTGCATAGCAAGCGAGTTAGACTAGAAAGCCACGGGCTGATAAGCTTGTTATTAGAGTAGAAGAGTGAAGAGTGATTGCATGCTTGTATACAGCGTTTATCTAGCAACTCTGGAAATTGCATGTTTAGTATTCAATTGGAATCTGGTAGTAGATTTTCACAATATAATGTTCTTGAACAACCTGCCACTTCAGTCCTAGACATAAGGATAATAGTAGTCAGGGTGTAGGATTTTATCAAAATTTAAAACATCGACGATGAAAGAAAATTAGCGGGACGAACAAAGAAGTCTGAATAACCAAGCGCGGCTAATAGAACAGGCGCTTTTTCGTGATGCGTAAATCATAGAGAAATGGAGCTAAGCTCTTAGCCCTTGATGTTGCGAAAATCTCAGATATTAAAGCTCCCTGAACTCATTGCAATCAAACGTTATCACTGATCAAAGCAGTCCAAAATTCTATTGGAATGAAACGTAGTAAAGTGATTACATGAGCTTATTAGAACTCATCCATAGTTCGAAAAGTAACGTTGAATGTGCGGTTATTAACCTAACAATCCAAACTTCTAGTTATAGGCTAAATAACAAAGGAATCTGAAACTGGCATTGGATGCTGAGACAAAGGCGTCATGGGAACGGCAGAGATTGAAAAGAAATCCTTCGCAACAACATTGACCTAATAAGCCCTCGAATCATATACATCGATTTTATTCCAACCAACAGCTATCCGAGTCTTGGCGTTGATCATTGACCAGATCGTGGCAGTCTCTCAGCCTCACAATGCAACGTGGGCTAGCCCTATACAGACAATGCCAAGACTATTTCGAGCAAGGGATGCCGATACGATGCCAATGGTCTCGGGGGTGTCATAATAATCGTTAAGTAAAATATATTAAATTCAACAGAGTGGTCTGGATTCTCTGTACTTCGTGTGACACGAGGATTCTCGAGTCATGTAGATGTAATATCAAGTTTTCTTGCGACCGCACTGCAAATCATGTTTGAGCACCGTTTCAAATTCTTTGAAGAACCAAAGCCAAAATTTAAAATAAATCTGTCAGGCTCAAGTCTTTGAGGCGCAGAAACATCTTTAAATGGAACAAAGAGGCCCGAGGGGAAGACGTGGTAGGGTGACGGCCTGAGGGGTGCACGAGAGGATTCGTCCATGCAAGCCTTGGCTTTGCTGACCGTAGCAAATCCTGTACCACCTATTAGCATGGTTAGTGTTCCATTAATGCGAGCTGAAGAGAGCAGTGGGTGTTTCTACATAGTGCTTAGAGTGATGTACGGGAGTCTTTGGGGAGACAAAAGGAAAGGTTTGGATCTGGTAGAGAAATGCTACACCTTTAATAGTAAAGGTACCCTTTTCATGCGCGCTATGCGCTAGGCAAATAGTAAATTAGGAAGTCGATCTACATACGGAGTACTAGCCCAGTAACTACTGTAGACGAGGTCACTCTTCCTATCAGAAGCCGTCCATGGTCCATTGTGCAGTGTGCTCAGCCCAAAAGCATTCGAAATGCTACTCATCCTTGTCCAAGTCCTGGCTTTGGAATTTGAATTCTTTGTCTTCTAGCCTAGTCCTCTTTTCTCACCCTCGTCGCCATTTTCTCCTACAGTGGAAAATCGCAAATCACTAGATTGCGGTGTGCATATTGTGTTGACGGACCGTCAGCCCTCCCCTGTACATGATGTTTATGAGTCGAATAACTTGGCCACTGGTATGGTTAGCTTTGGCGACCATGACAGTGGCTGCCGGCTCTTCAAGAGCTGCAACTGTCGCCACCCCGACCTCCTCCTCGACGAGTATCAGCACCCACACAATCCAGGTGGGACCTAAGACAAATCCGCATCAATTTGTTCCAGCCAATATCACGGCCAATATGGGCGATATTGTCGTCTTCGAATTTTACCCAACAAACCATTCTGTCGTGAAAGCAGATTATCTCGCTCCTTGTGTACCAGCAAGCGGAAACATCTTCTACTCCGGGGCCTTTGTGGATTTCAATGAGCAGGATGGGCAACTCGTCGGACCAGTGAGTATAATAAATCTGAGAAGCAAAACAAAATCTTGATCAAAACAACGCGGCTAATATATGCAATGCAGGCCCCGACTTGGTCCTTGCGAGTCAACGATACCAAGGTATGCATATACTCCGACCGCAGGCCCACAACCTTGGATTGAATCTAACAATGGTTAGCCCACATTCTTCTATTGCACTGCTATAGATTCATGTTTGAAGAATGGAATGGTCGGAGTGATCAACGAGGTATGACTCTCGGTTGCCCCCGAGGGCGGATTCACGCTGACTATTGGACCCACAGAACACAAGCCAGACATGGGAAACACAATACGAAAAAGCTCTGAAATACCCTTATATGCTAGTCCCAGGCCAGTCCATGCCTGCCGAAGGCGACGGCAGCGGTTCCAACGGTAACGACACAAGCGGCGATGGTAGCTCTTCTGACAGTAAGCATGGGCTCAGCTCGGGGGCCATTGCAGGTATCGCCGTTGCAAGTGTGGTCTTTGTGGCCATATTGGTGGCATTGTTCTTCGTTCTCGGTCGCAACCGCGTGTATTCGCAGTGGATGTCCTCGGAAGATGGGCGCACGGAGAGAACTGCACGCTGGGCAATGTTCAACCATGGTGAGGGATACGGCAACGGGAAAAGTGAAGCTGGAGGTAGTAGTGTCCCTAACCACAGACCAACCCATAGCGATGTCACCGCCGTCTCTAGTCCGGATCCGAATGTACGCACCTTGTCACCTGGGGTGGGAGTTCCCTCCGGTGCCGGTTCTCCGTCAGCGCAGCAGGGCCACTGGAGCTGGAATGAGCCTCCTCAACGGCCCCGTGCAAGCGGGATGGCCACAGAGCTGGAGGGGCATCCCATTATCTGGGAGGCACCAGGCAGTACTCCAGGTTATCGTTCCTAAACAGGTGTCAAACCTTTTGAGATAGGGCTGGGATGGGGAGTTCCGTGTCGAGTCGAGGCGGGCCTCAGTGACGTCTTTGGATCTTTTGGGGGTTGTGGTGTTGGCCGTTCAATTGTTTTCCATGTGTGAATGGGTCTACCTTCTTTATATATGTATAAATATACTTGATACCTGGGATTCGTTGCCTGGTATATTAATTTATTTTGATTTGTTGATACTTTAATTCCTGAATGGGTAAGCCAGCCTTACACCCGATTCTTCACTTGCCCATATCTCCCGTATTGCTGGGCCTCGCGGTCACCGTAGTTCAGTGGAGGGAATATCGACCTGTGCTGAATAGACGATAATTGTAATAAAACCGGGTATAACACAGTTACCACTACGTCGAAGGTTGTAGATTGCGTATCATGTGTATCGAGACCTATCGTAATTACGGTAATATTGATTAGCCGACTTCCCCATGCGCCCGAAAATTATTTCCCAAGTGAATTGCCCTCTATCATGTCTACACCACCGAAACGTCCAGCTTTGGGAATTTCGGGGACCCAAAAACAAGCTCTTCGAGTTTGGGCACAAAGTCAAAACCCCCGTCCATCGCAATCCCAATGTTCTGCTTGGTTTGAACGAACCTATGGACGAAGCCTCTCCCAATCGACCATCTCATCTATTCTCTCCAGTAAGTTCGGCCACCTCGATGCTGGTCCGGCATCCACTTTAAGACGTCAACTGGCACCGCAATGGCCCCTCTTGGAAACACCACTTTATGAATGGCTCGCAAGCCAAGAATCCACACCCACGGCCGATGTTATTATTACCAGAGCACGTGAAATCTGGAATCAAATTCCGGAATACCAGACTCTACCACTTCCTCACTTTAGCAATGGGTGGTTGAATAGGTTTAAGAAACGATATGCCACCCAAGTCCATGATCGCCAAGATGGCATGCCATTGCCCCCACCCCAAACCGGTCGCAAGGAAATGAGAGCAATGAAAACGCTATGCGGTGAATTCCCAGAGGACGATATCTACAACATGGACGAGACTGGCCTTTTCTGGCGGAAGCCTCCATTCGGCGCTTCCCCCGCTCAAGACCAATTGACAACAAATAGGGAAAATTCCCGCGTCTGCCTCATGCTCTGTACAAACAGCACTGGGTCAGATCGGTTACCCCTTTGGTTCATCGGACATACGCATACACCAGAGGCGCTTCGCAAGGCGAATCTCAAAGCCATGGACTGCCATTGGCGATATCACCGGCAGGCCTGGCTGACGCAATCGATCATGCAAGAGTGGCTTCTCTTCTTCTACGACCATGTAGGGGAGCGCAGGGTTTTGCTTCTGCTGGACAATCATCCAGACCACCAAGCTGCCATTGAGGCTACGCCACCGCCTCCGAATGTGCATGTCCAACTGTTTCCCACTCAAACTCACACATCGAATGAGCAACAGCCGATCAACTTGGGAATTTCTCAGACTCTGAAACACTACTATCGCAGGCAATGGCTTGCGTACATTGTGGCTGGTATGGAATTGCCCCAAAATCCAGTCCACACGATGAGTCTTTATCACACTTTATCTTGGACCACCCGGAGCTGGCGTCACGACGTTGCAAGCGCGATTATTTACAGAGCTTTTCGGAAGAGCAGTTTAATGGACCCGCAGATTGAGTTCATCACTGCTCCAAAATCACCGGATCTGACGAATCTCTACGAGACAGTCACACGACACAATCCTGATGGTCGAACGGTCACCAGCCTTGAAAACTTCACTCATCCTGTGGACGAAGATTTCGAGAGTGTACCAAATGTTGCCGGGTTTATCGTTGAAGGTGAACCTACTTTACAGCAACTGGACGACACCATTGTGTCCATCCCGCCCGAGCAACTCGTACCTCCTGCTGTAGATGCAGTTATTGGGATGCAGACGGCCATCCGATACTTGGTACATGAGTCTTGGGCCACTGCGAAAGACCTTCAGGCTCTCGAGAGAATAGAGAGAATGATCAATCGTCTCGCCATTGAAGAGCGACGACAGGCGCACATTAGTCATTCTGATTGAAGAAGTCAACGAGAATGACGATGATAACCGTATCCTTTCTAGCTGCCAAGGTATGATGTAGAAAACAAGAGCCTAATATAATGGAATTGCCGAAAGTAATCGGAATGAACAAGAAAGTAATATTCAAAATGATATCATATATAACACAGGCTCCATAACGGGGAATCGCTTTTGTATTTCAGACAGGACCCGAGACCAAATAAAAAAGAAAATCAAGGAAAGATTTTACTCTACAGCATCAGTGATACAACCCAGGCTGGCATTCTGGACGGTTCTGGCATATTTGCCCAGAGTACCACGCATGGTAAGACCAGTCTCGGGGAGATCGCCAGCATCCTTGCGGGCTTCCCACTTCTGCTTGCGGTCGGCGAACTCAGCATCGGAGAGTTCGACATCAAGAAGGCGCTTGTCGGCATCGATGGTAATGACATCACCGTCGTTGACAAGACCGATGGGACCACCGACGGCAGCCTCAGGGACAATGTGACCGATCAAGAAACCGTGAGAACCGCCGGAGAAACGACCGTCAGTGATGAGGGCACACGAGTTACCGAGACCGTAACCCATGAGGGCACTAGAGGGCTTGAGCATTTCTATAAAAATGTTAGCATTATGGTCAGCCATCACGTAGACTTTTTTGCACATACCAGGCATTCCAGGGCCACCCTTAGGACCGCAGTAGCGAATGACAACAACGGTCTTCTCCTCCTTCTTAATTTCTCCACGCTCCAGAGCGGCGATGAAGTCATCCTCACTATCGAACACACGAGCCTTTCCGGTGAAGGACATGCCCTCCTTACCGGTAATCTTGCCGACACTACCACCCGGGGCCAGAGAGCCACGGAGGATCTGAATGTGACCAGTCTCCTTGATAGGGTTGGAGAAGGGGCGGATGATCTTCTGGTCGTCGGGGAAGCCGGGGAGCTTCTCCAGGTTCTGAGCCATGGTCTCACCAGTAACAGTCATACCAGAGCCATCAATAAGACCCTCCTTGAGGAGCAGCTTCAGGAGTGCGGGGGTACCACCGACGGCGTGCAGATCGGCCATGACGTACTTGCCGGAGGGCTTGAGATCAGCCAGGAAAGGAATCCGGTCGGACACGGCTTGGAAGTCATCAATGGTGAGCTTGATGCCGACTGAGTCGGCGATGGCAATCAAGTGCAGCACAGCGTTGGTAGAGCCACCGGTGATGTTGACAACAACCATGGCGTTCTCAAAGGCCTGACGAGTGAGAATATCGCGAGGGCGAATGTCCTCAGCGAGCAGCCTCTTGATGGCACCACCAGCCGCGAGACACTCAACGTACTTGGCCTGGGAGTTGGCCGGGTTGGAAGAGGAGCCGGGTAGGGTCATACCCATGGTCTCAATGGCGGAAGCCATGGTGTTGGCAGTGTACATACCACCACAAGCTCCCTCGCCTGGGCAGGCGTGGCGGATGACGTCAAAGCGCTGGGGCTCTGTGATCTCCTTGGTAAGGAATTGACCGTAGGCCTGGAAAGCAGACACAATATCGATATCGGCGTTGTTCTGGGTAGCAGCACAGCCGGGCTTGATGGATCCACCGTACACCATCAGACTGGGGCGGTTGATACGACCCATAGCCATCAGAACACCGGGCATGTTCTTGTCACAGCCGGGAATACTGATGTTGGCATCGTACCACTGTCCACCCATCACGGTCTCGACGGAATCGGCAATAAGGTCACGACTCTGCAAAGAGTAACGCATACCGGTGGTACCCATACTGATAGCATCACTGACACCAACGGTGTTGAACTGGAAGCCAATCAAGTCCTGATCCTGGACACCCTGGCGGACCTTGTTGTTCAGGTCAAGCAAATGCATGTTGCAAGGGTTGCCGTTGAACCACACTGACGAAATTCCGACCTGGGCCTTGTTCATGTCCTCCTCTTTCAAACCGACTGCGTACAGCATTGCCTGGGAGGCACCCTGTGACTTGGGTTGGGTGATGTTGCGGGAGACCTTGTTGAGCGCCTTGTCATCCTGGAAACGAGGGAGAGTGGTTGAGAGAGACCGACTAAAGAGAAAAAAAGAAGTTAAGTAACCAGAGAAGCAATTGACTCAAAACACGATTGAATCAACTTACACAGGGTTAGCCCGGGACAAGCTCCGGAGAGCGGCGGGCACACGGGCCCGAGTCTGAGGAAGCATGATGAAATGGATATTATCCCAAAATCACCAAATAGAGCAATACAATTGAAAGTCTGGAGAAGAGAGGGGGACAAGAAATAAAAGGCGGAAGCTCAAGGGAGTGAGTGGGTCGGCCACTCCGACAATCGCACCGGAGAAGGGCAGAACCTCCCCGCCAATTGGGTACGTGCCGTTGTCAGCCCATTACTGGGGGAATGTGCAAATCAACTTATCATATTTGCGTGCAATAGGAGCTTCTCAGGTTGCCTCCATATATGACTCACGCCTTCTATATGCACTAAAGCATTGACCAACATGAACATTGAAGATTATAGTTAACGAAGTGAATTGTTGGCCTGGCCCCAGAGAATGCCATCCCAGCGATTTGAATAGCATGGCGAGTAGAAGCATTGACAACGGATATTCACCAGGAAAGAATAGCGTCTAGCGCTCACTATTTGAATGCCTCTCGGCAGTGAGAACAAATCTTGAATCCACCGCTGCGGATGCTCCGCTCGCTTTGGGACTCCTATACCGCGCCATTTTCCCGGAGGACGCTGGGATTTCCAATCGGTGGCATACCTCTGATTTTGACACGAAGATGCTAATAAGACTCGTCGAAGCATAGTTATACCGAGCTCTAGATCAACCAATCCCTGGCAAAACCACACAAAACATAAAATCCATAAAAAGCCAGAATATCTCACATCGAAGAGGAATTCAAACCCCTAGAAATAAACACAGCCCCTACTTCTTCTCATCTGGCTGTTGAGTGTATTTGATTCTATGCTCATTTCTTGTACATAGTATCTAGTAGCTTCTAGGTAAGTCAAGAACCTTCTCGCTCACATAATTCAAGATCATCTCCCGGCTCACAGGGGCAATGCGAGGTACGAAACATTCACGCATATATCGTTCCACGTCATACTCAACCGCATATCCCATACCACCATGTGCCAGAACTGCCCGCTCACACGCCGTGAAAGCAGCCTCCGCAGCCAAATACTTGGCACTGTTACACGCGACACCGATTTCATGGAAGGGCACAGATCCATCGTTGGTATCATACAGACGCGCTGCGTGGTAGGTAGCCAGCTTCGCTGCCTCCAGCCTCATGAATGCATCGGCCAATGGATGTGCTACACCCTGGTTCTGGCCAATTGGCCGCCCGAAGACAACCCGGTCCTTGGCGTACTGCGAGGCCTTTTCAAGAGCGGCATAACCAAGACCAAGTGCTTCACCGGCTAGAAGGCATCGCTCCGCGTTCATGCCATGGAGGATGATCTTGAAGCCTTGGTTCTCCTCACCAACTAACGTGTTCGCCGGAATCTTATAGTTATCAAAGAAGACCTCGTTCGCATCCACAGCGCGTCCACCCATCTTCTTGATCTTGCGCAGATCCAAACCAGGGTTCTCACGGTCGATATCGATACAAAACAAAGAGAGTCCCTCACTGGTCTTCTTGACTTCTTCAAGAGGCGTAGTTCGGGCGAGAAGGATCATCTTTGACGCCACTTGCGCGCATGTAATCCAGATCTTCTGGCCGGTGACCGAATATCCGTCATTGGTTTTTCTAGCCAAGGTCGTGAGCTTGAGTGTCTCAAGGCCAGTGTTTGGCTCGGTGACACCAAAACATGTGCGCCATGTCCCGTTGATAATATTTGGAATGGTCGTCTCCAGCTGTTCCTTAGTGCCGAACTTAGCCAATGGCTGTGTCGCATAAACGTTCGCGTGAATAGCCTGGGCACCGGCCATACCTGCGCCGGATTGTGTAATGGTCTGCATCATCATTGTAGCCTCAGAGATACCTGAGAGAAAGTCAGCGATCTGCATGAGAATAAAACGTCTACGCAACTGTACCTAGACCAGCGCCGCCGAGGGATTCGGGCAAAGCAATGCCAAGCCATCCATCCTTAGCCAATGCAGCATGGAATTCCTTTGGATCTTTTTCTTGTTGATCACGCTCCTGCCAATATGTATTCGGGAATTTTGAACATATATGCGAGATCGCTTCACGGACTGTAAGCTGCTCTTCGGTAAAGCCGGTCATCCCCATAATGGCACGCCGGCCTGAGGTGGAGAATGCCGCGCGAGCTCGAGGGGACATTCCAGCCCGACATGAACCTCGCAAAAGTGTAGGCCGTTGCGACCGTAGAGCATGTTGGAGTTGTGACCGGTACATGGTTGCAATTATTTCGAATGTTTTGGAGAAGCTTCTCGGTTGGGTCGAATATATACTATCTACGTTGTTTTCATATAGCCGACTCGGCATCTTGGCATTATCGCTGTGCCAACAGTACGTTACGATCTTGTAATGGCCCTTAGCCAAGAAACAAAAAAAGGATTCATCGCATGAAGACAATTGCATTCATGAGTTGTTATAGGAAAGCCAATAGCCCCAGGCTTTGGGCTCCCCAAACTACTGCAGAGGTCGTGACGGTATTTGATAAGAGTTTATTAATAAGACAGAATGGGCACAAGTGCCACAGAACGGAATAAGGATATGTCACTTTTTTTTGTCACCAATATTACCATTACACCACCGTGGCTGTTGACCAGTAGCTCAACTATTGTGCGCAAGGCCTACTGAATAAACGAAGAAGTCCCATTGATGTCCGTACTACGTGTAAAATTCAAAAGGGAAACCAACCCGAGTGACTAGTCATCGTATGTTGCAGTTATAAGAAAGAGCTGCTAATTATGTCCTCTCATTAGGATATGGTTGACAAGGTCGATTTTAGTCCTTATAGTAATCTTAACAGCGTGGAGTTAGACCGGGCAATCGGATACTTCCTAGTTCCACCCCACGGCCCATATCCTATTCTTGTCATACTAGCCTGTATCTTCTTTATAGCCGAGTCCTTTATAGTATAATGTCTATTCTTCAGTAATCGTTGAAGAGATTCAAGCCTGTTATGACTATCCTAATTTGAATATTCCATAGCCTTCTTGCCTCTTTTACTCGAATGTGCTACAAACTAGCGAACACTGTTTTGTCTAATATTCACTTGTTCCATATTGAAATAATTTGATGACAGAAAACAAAACAATCTTAGGATTAAAAGAAATATGGTACATGTGAGAGAAAAATAACTAGCGGATCGTATAGCTACGACAGTATCGGGGAAAGTTGCATGAGAAAAAGGGAAGCATGTATTACATCTAGCCCTATCACGTCTCAACTATGAGATTAAAAAAGCGGGCGGTGGAACATTAGAATTATCAATTGGCTCTACAGGTTCGAAGACCTTTCTTGATTCCTGGAAGAGACTAGGTGCATATAGTACATAAATAAAGACTTATTTCTATTGAGCATTTATAGAATATAGCACCAGGTAGGGCTTAGTATAACGCAAGGATATAATTAATGACACTGTTAGATCAAAAGGAGAAATTTAGTTGGCTCGGTAATCAAAAAAAGTCTGGCTGAATGACATTGCTGCATAACTAGTCCCATATACTTGATCGAATATGGTGGGACCATATTATATCATCTCGCTTTGACAAAGGCACTAGCAAAATTGACTGGCTGTTAGTCAAAAGGTAAATGTTTTGATTTTACGGTTGTAATAATTGAAGTTTTACCATCTTTGTATTCTTTCTTAACCTACAACAAAGGACTACCACTCAACGTACTTCATATATACATCTCGATTTGTAACTGTCATGTAGCAATGAATATCAAACAGTCAACTTTGTGAACCGAACTAAGAGATCAGATGGTGGGCCGGTAGCAAATAACCCAGATGGACGGGGATCACAATCGTCCACCGGCTCAACGTTGAATCGTGCCAATATCAAAGCAATCCGCCGTTTCATCTGAGCCAATGCTAACTCGCGTCCAACGCAGTCCTCGTCCCATAAGAGTACGAGAGCATACATATTGACGCAGAAGCGCCGCCCAACGGATCTGGTTTAGGACTGTTCGGGTCTGATCGATCAATCCATCATCCTGGAATAAACTTTGCTGCATCAGGACCCCAGAGGTGATGAGCATAGTTGATGGCTCGGGGACACATCCCAACAAAGGTCCCTTTTCGTATAGGCTGCTCTCCAATCATTGTATCGCGAATGGCCTTCCGAAATAACAGTGTGAATGCGGGATAAAGCCGGGTTGCTTCCATTACCACTGCATTCAGCACTGGTAATTTATCATACTCAGCGTCTGCTTTTAGATTCCCTAGGCTATCACAGAATTCAGCCAGTTCTTTCCGTAGATCCTCTTGAGCTTCTGGATGGCGAGCAAGACAGTATACTACCCAGGCGAGAGTGCTGCCAATGCTTTCGTATCTGTAAGCAATTAGGATTTCGAATTTCTTTTCAGTAGTCCAGTAGCTGGAAAATAAACTTACCCGCCACCTACAATGACAACGAGCTGTGCAATGGCGTTTGTTTCGTCAGAAAGGTTGGATCGACCAAGATTCTCCACGAAATCAAGCGGTTCCGCTTCGCTCTTTCCAGGCTATCCCACGCGTTCTCGAAGAATCTGCCGACAAATGTTGGCCAGAATATTATGTGCGTGGTCCATCTTGTTCGCAACAGGAATGCGTAGTAGATCGAGAACCCATTGTGGAGCAATGTTATACAGCAAGAATAGCAATCTTTTATCCTTGCTGTTAGAGAATAGCATCTCATGTGCCTCAACAATTTCGTGATTCTTGCCAACGATGATTTCGAAATCGGTTCCAAGTGCGATTATGCCAGTGACATCTAGTGAAACCATGGCAGTTACCTTGGTAATGGGAACAATGGTATAATTGTGTTTGGCCTTATGTTTGGTATCATCGGTAGCACAAAGTTCCAAAATGCGGTCGACGAATTGCATTGATTTGGCGAACAAGACGGGTTTAAGCTTGGTAATATTCGTTTGATTGAAAACCGGAAGATAATTCTTTCGGTTCCTCTTGTGCTCCTCCTGCTCTTGTGATACGATTCCTTGGCCCCAGAAGCGGGTCGTGTATCTTTTGAATGAACCCGCCTTCTCGTAATCATATGCGCGGGTAGAAAGAACATCCGTTAGTGCCTCTGCGCTAGTTGGAACGATATAAGATGACCCAAATACACCGAAGAAATGCAAAAGAACCCTGGGATAGGCCTTTTCGTTGATTCAGTGCGTGATGTTGAAAAATCTCCTAACGACATCAGATCTATAGCCGGACATTGTTCCGTCAGATTGATAGAAAAACTGAAAAACAAAAAATATGAACGGTATTGCGATGGTTGGGAAAAAGCTTTATGACTACTGATCTATTTCTCTATATTTATATACATTTCATGTGTCAAATTAGATTAATGACATAATAAATCCGAACGAACAAAAAAACGAGATACGATAGAGTCAGCACCCTTGTAGGGTGGTTACGGGCGACGAAGGACTATTGGCTATTACATTACTGCCGGCAAAAGATTATCTAGGTACTATTCACTTTGATTCCATGGCTGAGGACTTGTGTTCCGGAGCACCAGGGCCCCGGGGGTGAAATATACCTACTTATATAGGTCTAAAGGTACTAGTACTAGTAGTTATATCTATGTATAACTATACCACCTACGTTACGTAGGTCCATATACATAGTCCGGTACCCGCCTTTACCCAGAACTGCAACATCAAGCCCCTTGTTCTCCGCGAAGTCGCTGGTGACGGAGGCCAAGCTTACTTCATTATGCATAGTAAATCCCTCTTCGCAATATGTAAAACCGTCGACTGGCGAAGTAAACATGACTCGCTGCAACTCGAAGTGTTGGGTAATCTGCCTGTGAAATTGGGTACCCGAGTGGATGATGGAACACTGATGATATACGGAACAACATGCGATATGGTTATCATATCCCTTATTCGTCTCTAATATTTTCCCAGGCATCTCCACCAACGCCTTCAGGGGTTCTGGGTTCCTTCTGCGTTAGAACAAAAAAGGATTTCACAGCCAAGCAGGCAGTTCCAGGTGAGCAAGCGTTCCGCATATTCTTTTCAAAAGGCCCTACCCGTCAAGACATGTAGGGCACGGTGTTGACTTTTTCGTTCGGTGTGCGCAGGTCGATTTGTGCTTGGATTGGGTGTTTCTGCTCCATTGACCGAAGACATCGGTCCATCAGCGCTATTCACACCTCTCCTGAATGAACGGCACACGATCACGCCGAGCAATAAGTTGTACATCGCAGCCGCAGCAGACATGAGTAGTCGAGATCCGATCACGGAAAATCTCAGAGAACAGGCTTGTGAGATTGACTTTAACAGACTGGACTCCAGTATCTTGCCTATAAACAATAGCTCCAACGAGATTCATGTTCAAGTGAGATCACACCTCGAAACCAGCGAGACAGACACTATTATAGCGCTCTATAGTACTACCTAACCGATGTTATAATAGTTAAGCCCCCATTTTGGAAAATATGACAGCGAGAGCAATATGTATAATTTGGCCTAATAATGCGATGAACTCTTTAAAACTTTAGATATATATATTTTGAAAAAAGGTACATAAATACCACTCAGACCAAGCTTAAGAAGGTAGCATTTATTGTTCAACCGTGTCCTGTTCAGTCACTCGGTCGCCTCCATCCGGAGTCTGCTTTCCTCTCTCCAACAATTCGAATTTCCGAACGACTTGGAGAGTCGCATAATAGCTGAAAGGTAAGGCGATGAACCACAGGCCGAGATTGATACTTGCTGTCGCAATCAACGCTGTCGGCACCGCTTGAACGCCAAATCCAACTGCAACTGCAGCGGTTTCGATCCCCCGAAGCAATGAACTGTATCGAATTTGATCGCCGGGCGAGTCCGACAAATTCCCAATACACCAGTAAATATAATTCTCGACTAAGCCGAGACTGATGCGTTCAAACAGATACAGGCCAAAGCCACGACCGAAGGAGCGTTGATTGCCCCAGTCCAATACGGGGTTGGTGTGTCGGTACTCGTTCTGAATAATGACCGCCCAGATCCATGTCGCACTGTTCATGAGTGCAATAACAATGAATGTGACAATTGCTCTATGCTTACGATTTTTCAACCAAGGCAGATCCACCAACGACCCACCCAACCAAGTCGCCAGCGTTCCAACAACCGCAGACATGAAACTTCCGAGTGCGCGTGCGCGAACGGTGAAATAGGTCGCGAGATATGTGCCAGGGTATGCCTGTATCCACCCAAAATACCAGAATAGCGGAACAAGGAGCAAGATCGATCTACTCCTTGCCAGCCGCCACATCTCACGGAGCTCCTCACGCCAGTGAATGCCACGGGGAGCCTCGATACGCGTCCCATCGTCTCGCTGAACTTTCTCTGGGTTTGACAAGAGAGGCCCGATGATCAGCCCAAGACACTGGATGGCGATGAAAGCGAGATATGTCTGATAACCAACCTGGCCGCGCTGGTTGACCCTGTGATTTATCGCCAAAGAGACGGCACCACCAATGATGTTGCCAAAATTGCGGAACGTAAACCAAGTTGCAATGTAGCGACCACGCTTGTGCTGCTCGGGATACCCTGTGGCGACGGCACCCTCAACACTCCAAAAGAAACCAGCACTGATGCCGCAAGTGACACACCCGAGATACACAAGCCATGTTGCCCCAGTGCGGTTGTTCAAATACAACCCCGCTGCGTATAGCGGGTATCCAAGTGATCCCAAAGTCAGGGTCCAGCGGAAGCCGATCGCGTTTGTGATGAGTGGACCCGCGAAACAGGTCAGTGTCATCAAGGCGTATAGTAGAGCGTTGGCCGTGTTGACCAAATCCGGGCTCTGGGATCCGCCCACGCCTAAACCGTTCATTGCACTCCATATTCCTGGAGCACAAAATGCACATAATCCTACAACGAGGATTTGAAAAAGTGTACTGTAAAAGAACCTGGGACGAGGTGGTGGGTGCTCATCTTGGCTTTCCACGGTCGTTGACACATTTCCTTTGGCTTCGGACTGTTCTAATGACGACATGGTTATAGTGTGCAAGTGCAGATGAGTAAATCACTGCAGATGTGATTCCTGTCATGCACAAGACCCAGTAAGTCTATTTTATATGATCGGAGAGACTTCTCGTATACCCCGTTATCGGGACGATGCCCAGACAAGCACGCAAAATTATAAGCGCATGGCATAATCGCACCATCGCTCGGCAATTGATGGTGAGACCACAATGGGCTTGAAAGATGTCTTGTATCACGAATCATGTCAAGGCGATCCAATGATATTCCGCCATCTCGGCAGTCGTGAGGGGTCGTGTTCTCAACTACAAATGTACGGCATGCGCTTGACTGCTGTAGCTCAATCGCCTACAATCTCATATTTACATTGAGCAAACATGACAACAACCACCGAAGAGCTACAAATCGAGAAGCTTCACTTAGAGAGCCCTATCGTCACATTCGAGTCCTTCGACCTCCCAACTTCAAACCAACGTATCCTGGGACCTCCGCACCCCAAGAACACGGTTATCCCGCTTGCACTGCGACCCGCCAAGGCTGACGCCAAGGCAACTTTCGACGATGTGGTAGAGACAATCAAGACTCTCCAAGAAAAAGACGGCAGTTTGACCAAGAAACTCTCGAGGCATGGCACGCTGCTGTTCCGCAACCTACCAATCCACAATGCAGAGGAATTCAGCAAATTCGCACATGCATTCGGCTACAAGCCCCATGAGATTATTGGCATCGTAGTCGACAGACCACTCCTTGCGCCAAATGTTGCGCCCGCCAATGAAGCGCCCAAGGAGGTCCTGATATACAGCCACAACGAGTCGCCGCAAGTCCCACATGCGCCCGAGTATATCTTTTTCTATGGCCATCATGCGCCCTCGAAGGGCGGGGAATCACCGATATCTTCTTCGTTGGAATTGTTCAACCGTGCACAGCAAGAGATCCCAGAATTTATCGCTGAACTGACAGAGAAGGGAATTCTGAGTAAAGTGACCTACAAAGTGGAGAAGCAGTACGAAGGGGGATCCACACTGAAACAGGCCTTTGGCAAGGAAATTCAAGATGGTGATGACGAAGAGACGAAACGCCGCAAGATCGAGGCTCAGATTTCCCGCTACGGCAGAGGAGAGCATACGACATGGGAGTGGACTGATGATGGCCTTGTCTTGACGCACCGGCTACCTGTCGTCCGAACGCAGCCCGGTACAAACCTGCCTACTCTCTTCACTGGGTTGGCGGCGTATTGGAAACGTACGCAGTTTGACGCCGAGGCGCGCAAGAAGGTCACACAACAGCTCTTTGGGGATGGGACTCTCATTCCTGACAGGTATCTTGCACACCTGGCGAAGATCACGGATGAGATTCGGGTTCTGCATCGTTGGCAGGAAGGTGATGTGTTGGTTTACGATAACATCATTGCGCAGCATGGCAGAGAGCCGTGGGAGGGCGGGCAATCTGATCGAGTGGTTTTGGCAAGTCTATTCGATGGTGAAAGCGTCCCAGGAACTTATGGATTTGGGGACTGGGCGCAGGTTGTGCAAGCGCTTGATTGAAACGCTTTTTGGAGCAGAGTAGGATTCGGTAGCCTCGTTGACAAATTGATAAATAAGATTCTTCCTCGCCTTTCAATAATTTTGTCTTGAGTTGCCGTAAATACTAGGCATGTTTTATGTAAATATTTAGTACAGGTTGCGATACATAGGAAGCCCATGGGCCCTAAAATGTCCGATGACCAGAGATACATACCACTGCGTATGAATTTACAAACCTAGTATCATGTTACTTTTTTTGAGTATTTATAACTTGTAATACCATCAAAATGTGTTTTCTTTGCTCAGATTTAAATACGTAGTTAACTATTTGAGATCTAAACAAAGGACTAGACCTCTGTAGATCCCATAAATGGGGGCCAAGGCCCAACTAGTAGTGGGGTATGGGCTATAACGGGCTATCGATGGAAGGCCTATGATAGCCCATCGTAGCGTATTAAGGGGGTATTGACGCTTACAAACCAGCGTCTTGTAATCGCTAGTTATATTCTAACCTTCTACTAAGTGTAAAGAGTTCAAATTTGGAATATGGAATTATAATAGCTATATATATATATATATATGTTTCAATTTTAAACAAAATCTAACTAGTGGAGGGCGACATGTGGCAAAAAAAGGTTAATATTAATGTTTCGATGTTGGATAGATAGATATATGTTTGGGATTCATATAGGAGTATAACCACCTTTTCAGTGAATCTCTTAATTTAGAACTTATTTAGATAACGCGTTTTCTCGCGAGTTTTAACGTGATATATAAATTTAACTAACTATTAATTATGTAACTAACTACTAATTGAAACAATAAAATATTACCCCGATATACGGGCTAGAAATGGGATCTAAACATAAGGTAATTAACTTTTCAAAATGTTTGCATTGTTGAGTGTTAACTGGGCCTAATGGGCCCAAGGGCCCAAAGCCCAGCCCATTTGTGGGTGGGTTGGGTTGGGCTATGGGCTTCCTGGGCTTTGCGAAGGTCTACAAAGAACTGTGCCCCGTGATCCTGCATAGCCACACTTCGATCGCGATGCCAAGCCACGAGTGGCCGAGCTCATCGGGCACACACCCCAGCCAAACAGCCTAACAACGTCACCTCTTCTTGTCGCCATGGGATCCTCGTATTCCACATCTGAGGATGTCGACTCTATTCGAAATGAACCTTCAGCCTCCCATGAAGAAAATCAAATGTACTATCCAAGAAACTCAGCAGATGCCGTTGAGAGCTTCAACATTCTCCGACAAAAGCTGCCATCTGAACTCGTCCTGGAGATTCTAGAATTCGCAGAGCATTGGGTGTTATCTGCTGTCTACAGAGAAGACAGCCTGGATTATAATGAAAATGACTGTCGTGATCGAATCCCATATTTGACATCTGAGCCCATCCAAGGGGAACGATTTCCCGTTCAAGAGATCAAAATCAACATCTGGAGCCATGATCAAGGATGGAGCAGTTATCGCGAGGATCATGGCACATTCAGAAACTCTTGGACGTGGTTCGATCTCGGTATCGAAAGACCACCAGGACGAGATGATATTTCCAAAGATGAAGATCTACGTTTGGCGACCAATGTCCACGCGGGACGCGAAGCCATGAACCACCAGATTACGTATCGGAGGGATCATAAACACTGCTGGATGGAAAGTCTTCAAGCGGGTGATCGGATTTCGATTGTGCCTCGGGCGCGCTTTCCTGGCTGGCGCAATACCGTGGAAAAAGCTTCTATTGAGGTTTACACCAGCCCTGTTTTGTGATTATGTGCCTGTATTATTCCCCTATCGGTTCTAAAGCAAGCCTGTATAGCCTAACCCATACAGTCTGATCTTACACAACTTTTTCGGTTCTTTTTGTGATCTAGCGACGTGTCCCCAGAGACAGAATAGCGGCCGCCTCCTCATAATCAGAAAATACAATACCGCCACTCAGAAGAAGCCGCCCTAGTCGCATAGAGCTATCCTTCCAAAATCCCTGAATTCCGCTAGAGATCCCATGGCGTAAGCTGCAATACACCGTGGTAGACTGGACTTGACAAAGATACATACTAAGCAGGACGCCCAATATTTCACTTATCGAATAAACTTTACATTAAAAAGGAGCACTCGCCTCTACTCATATCTGAAGGTAGTACGTGTCACTCTTGTGCATAATGGTTACACCAATCTTAGACAGCCTAACACTGACAGGAGCCGCTTTTCTCACGCTGGTACCTAAGATGAGCAGCCGAGAGTATTGCTCCTCGGATTCCCAACAAAAGCCTCTACCTCACTCGGCTCTGAGTCAGAGTTGCGATCACAGCTACATATGCAGGGGCCAAAGTGATGTGATTATTTCGGCATATATCAGGGTCTTATATGCAGTACGCGCTGTTTTGAACGCGAGGCTGAGTTTAGTTGCAAAGAATGCCACATTCTCAAGGCTATGCCTTTGGTACTGTTATATAAGCTGTCTACTCGCAGGAACATGAAGTGAGCCTAAGTCCGAGTACCACAATGACCAACCACTGTCTCTCATGGAGGCAGCTCTGCCTAGCTGTCCTGTCTGTCGCAACTGTGGTCTGTGGGGTTTCAATTGCGAACCACACAAATTCCCCTGCCTGCCGTTGTATGCCGCAAGACCCTTGTTGGCCTGAAGATAACCAATGGGCCCGATTCAACAAAACCGTGAATGGGAATTTGATTGCGACTGTCCCGATCGCCAGCGTCTGTCACCTCGACTCGTTCATGCCGTACGATCAACCACAATGCGTACAACTCCAGTCCAACTGGGGTTTCCCAAAAACGCACTATGAGAGCTCCTCATCAATTATGGCGACCAGGTTCACGAACCTAAGCTGCAATCCCTTCTCGTCGAAGACCTCTCCTTGTACGATCGGGAACTACGTCCAGTACGCCGTGAACGCGACAGATGCCCCACACGTGCAGAACACAATCAATTTTGCAGCTCAACACAACATTCGCCTTGTCATCCGTAATACTGGACATGACTTACTTGGGAAGTCCACTGGAGCTGGAGGGCTAGCGATTTGGGTGCATCACATGAAAGATATTTCTGTCGTGGACTACATCTCGTCACACTATTCCGGCAAAGCCATGAAGATGGGAGCTGGGGTTCAATCATTTGAAGCTAGCGACGCGGCATATAAAGCTGGACTTGTTGTCGTGGGCGGCAATTGTCCAACAGTTGGACTGGCAGGGGGGTATTCCCAAGGCGGCGGACATGGCCAACTGGTGTCCCATGTGGGCCTTGCTGCTGATCAGGTACTGGAATGGGAGGTTGTTCTCGCAAATGGGAAGCTAGTGACCGCATCCCCAACAAACTATCCAGATCTCTACTGGGCACTGTCAGGTGGAGGTGGAGGCACGTACGGTGTTGTCGTGTCGATGACGAGCAAAGCTTACCCTGAGCTGCCGACGGCATCTGGTAACTTTTCATTCTCCGACACCGGTGTATCGCGAGATAAATTCTTTGCAGCAGTCAGCATGTTTATATCGATTCTTCCCTCGATCGCGGATACTGGAGGGGCCAGTGTTTGGTGGTTAACCAACAACACCCTATCAACGACGCCTACTACCATTCCGGGCGGCACAGCGACAATTTTCAATTCTCTTTTTGCTCCTTTAATTGCATTTCTTGAACAGAACGACATACAGTACAGTAAGCAGAAAGATTACATCAAGTTGCAGCGAACACTGACAGTGGGGTGAACAGCGTATTACGTGGACGATTTCCCGACATACCACGATGCCTACCAGACAATGAGCCCACCGGACAACATAACGGATCAACTTGCTGGAGGTCGCCTGATTCCAAGATCCGTGGTCGAGGAGAACTTGGCTGATCTAACCACCGTCTTGCGTAATATTGTCGAAGGAAACGGTGGATTCCTGATTTCAGGAGTTATGGTCAACTCATCTCGAGTTGCATATCCCGACAACAGTGTCAACCCAGCCTGGCGAGACGCGTTGATGGATATTGTAATCGGAGCGTGAGTCTTCTCCAGGATTTTCCACCAGAGCTATGCAGGCGTTTATTAATCTTGATGCAGGATGTTCAACTATACTGACTTCGAAAGCAATATCGCTCCCCAGAAGGTCATTACCGATGTTCTTATGCCTACACTGGAAGAGTTGACACCTGGAAGTGGTGCATATTTGAATGAAGCTGATCCAAATCAAATAGATTGGCAACAGGCATTTTATGGGGATAACTATGACAATTTACTAACGATTAAGAGAAAGTATGATCCTGATAATAGGTTCTACGCTTTCAAGGCTGTAGGCAGCGATGCTTGGAGAGTTACAGACAATGGCCGGTTGTGTAAATCGCAAGATTACCAGACCGAATGATGCCGCAGGAGAAATACGTGGGATGAAGAACAAGGAGACGCCATTGCATGTAGTTTGTGTGTCTCTGGGCGCTTAAGGCTTAACTAGATGAGTGCATACTTATGGTCCAGCCTGGCGACCGCTGATGAATACATGACCCGTCATCCATTGGAGTTTCATTTCATAAGCAATTTGATCATGATCAATCACAGGGACCACCATCCCTTCTCAATGATCGTTGCCGCAATTCCCTCCAGAGTCCGCCAAAGTGCGCTAATCTCGCCTGCTACGTTGGCTGGAAGTGGTCCGGCCTTCCGAGCATCAACATAGTCTTGAAGCTGCTTCAGAGTGCTTGGTCCGATGACAATTCGGTCGGGATCCTTGAGGTTGGAATGGAAAAGCAACCAGCGTAGGGCACATTGAGCCCCCGTAGTCCCCAGCCTGTTACCAATATTGTCCAGAGCCTTCATAGATTGGTGATAGAGGGGCTGATCGTACCACATGCGGTAAACTGCACCGAGCATATTACCCTCTCCGACCTCGAAACGGGTACCCTCCAACTGTTCAGGCGATGGAGAATAGGAAAGCTTTCCGGTGAGGAATCCACCAGCCAATGGCGAGGTTGCCTCGAAGTCAATACCGAACTCGCGAAGTACTGGGAAAAGTTCGTCCTCGTAGCCTCGGCAGAAGACATTGTACTGGCCTTGGTAGACTGAAGGCATAATGAGGTTTTGCTCCTCTGCGACTTCCATCCAGGCACGGATCGCAGATGGACTGTAGTTGGATAGACCCAACTTTTCAAAGTACCCTCGACGATAGTAATGGTCGAAGTGTACGGCTTGTAGAGGAATCGGGGTCTTGCGGTCCGGGGCATGAGCGTAGAGTGTGTGGATCTATGAATAGCCATATTAGCCCTATTTACATAGCCAGTGTGTGCCTTTTACTTACTTTCTTGACCTTCAACCGCTCCAAACTGGCCATGATAGAGGCTCCCATGTTCTTGAAGGACAAGGAGTCATCGCCAATGAATAAAACCTTCGTGTCGATGATTGCATTGTCTGGCTTCCTTTTACCGAGGAGTTCCTCGGATTCACCCGGATTTGTAGCAGGATACAGGGCAGCCGTATCAAATTGATGGATTCCAGCCTCTGTGAGACTATTCATCAAGTGGTCCATATTGTCAGCTGTCCAGGCGACACCGAATCCTTGAGCACCGAATACATAGTGAGGGGTATCCATGGCTGAATGAAAGAAGATATGTGATAGATTAAAAAGGGTTGAGAAGGTTGGAGAATCGAAAAAATGAGAAAGTGGAAAGGGAAGGGCGTTTGACCTCAAATGGAAGGCGCGTTGCACAAACCACCACCTTCCCGTTTGATTTGTCAAACATTGAGATTTTTCGAGTGTAACTCATAGTTGCTCTTTATATATTTTCAAGAGAGATTGATTTCTGGATATCACTTAATCTGCTGTGCTGCTTTCAGCTAGAACCTGGTTTCCAAATTCCTCAATCTTCACAACGAGCTCATTGGTCCAACTAAGGTGCGGCGAGTGACCGCAGGGTGCATGGTAGATCGTGAATGGCTTACTCTGGCTCGCCGCCATTCCCTCTTGATACTCCTTCGGCAATGTACGGTCCTTTTCTAACACGAGATAGGCACATGGGAGCACATCATAAGGATTATGGGTCAGAGGACTGTTCATAACGGGGGCCGCTGTCAACGTGGATGTCCACTTCTTCGCAGTCTCTGCGTCAAGGTCGTTGAACAGGTATTGTTCAGGGTCAACCATAGTTCCAAGCCCATTGACACCATGTTTCTGTTATTACCGGTCAGTATCTACAAACATAGGTTGGTGTACTGATCAACTCACATGGAATCGCATAAACGGAGGCACAACAACTTTGCCGTCCGGAGGCTGAAAGAATGAGTGCACTGATTGGCCCTGCGGAATAATGAATGCCCCGATGAAGAATATCCCAATGACACCACCGGTCTTTCCTTCCTTTGCGCGGACATGAGCTTGGCGAGAAGATTGTGCAGCCTCAGCGGCGACCCAACCACCGGAAGAGTGTCCTGCAAGCAGTACCGACTTTCCCTGTGCAATCAACTTGTCAAGAAGCAGTCCAATCTCTGACGCGTCGTCTGCGGGAAGTGGGTAGCCACCCGGGGGAGCCTTGCGATCGAAATCAGGGTTGTTGGGGTTGCCGACATTGAGCTGACTGAGATCACAAGTGGGCCGTTGGGGACAATAGACTTCGATTCCCTTCGCAGTTAAGCCATCAACAAGAGCTTGGTATGGAGCTGGGGTATGGTAGGAGCCATGGCAGACCACAACCGCAAAGGACTTGGAAACCATAGTGAGTTGTGAAGGAGGAAGAGTTGGGGTGTCAAGGAATGTCAAGGTTCCCCGCACGTGGTCTGGCACCCTTATATTGTGTTGATGCCTGACAACAAAGGAAAATAATTTAATGAGACTATATATATTCTGACTGTTATCTTTGACGAACAGATCTCATCCAATTGGTTTATCTCTCTCTCTCAATTATGTATTTTTGCAGAACTAATTCCAACCATCAAACGAGCAATACAAACGGCTCGGACTCACCCAAGGTGGTACGAATCTGACATGCATTACGGAGCATAAGCACACATATCCTGGTGCGTTGTCAGGGTTGGGAGTTAGATAAAAGTATAGTTCCTGACTGTGGAGCCGTGTAGATCTCCCGGGAAGACAGGAACGTGCATTTCAAGGATGTTTTTGACCATCCCACTCTGAATACACTCTCTTTCAAACAGTAGAGGTCTCGGACGCTCGAGGGAGCACATTCAAACTATGAACGTCAAGGTCTCGCGTCACCAAAATACCAGTCCCTGGAGCTTCATTTTCGTCCCTAACCCCGGCATGTGCTGTGGGGGCACCCATGGGCTCCACTTCCTTGTGGCCTCGCTCTTCATCATTGTGACTCCGATCGAGCGTGGAAAGGAGAGAATCTAATTTTGCGGGTCGACGGCGTAGCTGAGCTGACCCAATTGTCGGCAAATCGCGTGGTTGCGCTGAATGTACCGTTCTCCCGCGAAACAGTAAGGGCCCAAACGTTGGAACACAGGCCACCAAGATTCCTGCCGTCATCTCGGCCATGATAAAAATAGAGGAGTCTCTTAGGCAGTAGATTAGGTCGTCGGCTGGACACAGCTTGGTCTGAATAATGCGGCCCAGATTGATACCGGCCGTTCTACTAGCGGTCAGCAACTAAATATGGACTGAGCTCGCAGGGCACTTACAGAATGCCTATCGCGAACGATGCAGTGACGCCAATCTTTTTGCGACTCGACATTTGTAGTCGCCAAACAATAGGGAGCGGTAGTAGCACGACTCCCAAATCAATCCCCATGTTGAACCCTGCAGATGCATACTGTATCTTCAGAACATCCCCACAGCTCCCTGAAATAGTGCGATTCCAGTTATAGGCCACTGGACGACAGAGCAAAGCGATGGTCAAGATCGCAGATACCCAGTATAGGAAGACAAGACATCCCACACTAGTTGCGCACCAGAAGAATTTCTGATTTCCTGGGAAGATCTCCATATATAAAAGGAGTATTGCGAGTCTAAAGCAAACCGTAGAGGTTGCCCACATCCATTCAGATGCCCAGAATATCTAACTGGGTTAGTGTCTCCCATAAATGGCCAAGAAAATAGACCAAATACCTTTAATGCGCTAACCAACTCTCCTGGGTTCCGCGCAGCCATGGTCGCCGTATGTCCACCATAGCCGGCAGTGGTAGCCCCTAGTATGGAACCTTAGCTCTGTTTGCCTCGGAGAGAGTTGGATCAGCTCACCTATCAGCATGTCCACCACATAGCCAGTCAATAGCATCTAGCGTTATCATCAGCAGGCTGAAGACCTTGTCGTCCAGTCAAACTTACTAATGAGAAGAAAACAAGATAATCATGACTTTTCAGGTCCCGACGTCGTATACGTATAGAAGCAACTCGAAGTGCAACAGCTACTGCAGCAAGGAAGAAAAATATCAAACTCCACACTATCAGAACTGGAGACCGATGATTCAAGTGGATCATATTCGAGAGAGTCAGCAATGACGAGGTCTGACAGTATAAAACAATGTTATTCGACAGTATATAAGTATGTAGCTTAATTGCAGAAGTGGTGGGTCGAGAGAAACAATGGCTTTCTACAAATTCAAGAGACGCATTTCATTTCCAACGGCATGTGCAAATAGTTTCTGATACGGAAAGTGTCCATGAACACTGCAGACTTCATTTCGTACAACGTGAAAACCTTGACCGCGACTCTCTCCAATTTGCACATCAGCAGAGTTTCAGCTGGGAAAAGTACCGAATTGAGGCCCTGGTGACTGCAGTGAAAGACAAACGTCCAAGGTTGTCGTGAGGCAGCGATTAGACTGACCGGGTCATTCACAACATCGAAGTTCATATCCTTCCCATCAACCTGCAGCCTCCTGCATCCTCTCTCTGTACAATCCGAGACATCGACCTTCATCCGTTTGAATTAAAGTACATCCTTGAAAATGTCTTTCTTCAGGGATACATACGCGGAGAATATGCAACGAGATTCCACCGAGGCGCAAAGGTAAGAACTCACCAATAGCCAATGAAAACACCAAATACTGATATCACCTCAATAGACTCGACGAACAATTCAAGCTCCTCACCGAGTAAGAACACCCCGCCAAGCCCTGTGTTGCCAAGCAGCCGACAAGCATACCATACTAATCCCTGCTGACACAGAAACATCGGCTACCTGCTGCACCCCTCCGTTCGAGACAAAATGCATACCCACGCACGAGTTGCTGACATCGCCACCGGCACTGCAGCCTTCCTGCGCGACCTCGCCCACGACTGGCCCGACGCAATCTTACACGGCTATGACATATCAACTTCGCTCTTTCCACCCGCCAGAACCCTCCCCAAAAACGTGACTCTGCACCTTCTCGATGCCCGCAAGGATGTTCCCGTCAGCCTCTACGGACAGTATGATCTCGTGCACATTCGACTGATTGCCGCCGGGTTGACTTCATCCGAATGGGAGAGAGTTGTTCGCAACCTTGCTAAGCTTCTAAAGCCTGGTGGTGTTATGCAATGGGAAGAGTGCGACTTTACTAGCGTTCGCCACCTTCCCGGTAGACCTGATTCTACGACCGACGCGGCTAGTACCATCGGATTAATGTTCCTGACTGCCATGAAATCCCGCTTCGAGTATGGCTGGAATCGATTGGCGACCGACATGCGCGCTGTTGGTCTTGTAGATGTCCATAATGAGGCTGTTTCTGCGGATCGGGTGTATGACACACGTGAGCGCTTGGCTACAAATGGGATGAGGGCTATGTTCGCGTGGGCGCGGCTTCATTCTGCTAGAGGATCACAGGGGGCGCTGACCATGCGGAAGATTGAGGATCTGGAGCAGAAGGCTTATGCGGATATTCAATCTGGTTGTTATGTTACATTTGACATCCACATTGCCTGGGGATTTCGGCCCGAGGAGGAAGAGTGAGCAGATATTGTCTGCATGTTGTATCTAGTTCAACGCTTCTCGCGCGGATATTAAAAAGAAAGAAGTCAACTGAAATCAACGAAGAACGATTGTTACTCATATTATCTCCACACTTGGCCCAACCTCAGTTCACCTTGCCTATACCCGACTTTGGAACACAAGCCGACATGCACCAGGCTGCGCAGTCAATTGGTCCTTCATATCTCGTTCCACAGCTTTGCCATTATTCTCACCAGGTGCAAATTTGATCCGATAGTGGAACACCAAGGCAGCAGCTACGAGTCGGATTTGTGCAAGAGCTAAATGACGACCAACACAGCTTGTACGCCCTGTTGAAACAAATTATCAGGACACGAGCCTCTTGTTATCCTTGTGCAACCCAGCCAGCCACATGGGAGATCTGACAACACGGGTCAATGGTAGGGTTGTAGCTTACCGACGCCAAAAGGAGCAAATGCCCGTTTATCCTTGATTAGCTCCGGTTGGCTGTACCACCGCTCGGGAATAAACTCATGGGGATGGGCATATGCCGTCTCAACTGAGGTTTATTTTAGTCTTTCTGGCCGAAGAGGAGATAAGGAGTTTCTCACGTCGACCAATTGTGTAGCGTGGCGCACATATTTTGGTATTTCCTGGGATAAACGTGCCATCTATCATTAGTCCTTGTGGTGGAGTTACCCGAGAGCTGAAGGTTAGTACTGCTGGAAGTAATCGCATTGTTTCGTTTATAGTCCCCGTCAAATGAGGCAAGGTGGCTAAGGCAGCTGGACTATCCCTATCAACCCCGTGGATCTCTTCATATATCTTCTCAGCATGCGTGGGGTATCGAGCGAGGAAATAGAAGAGAAGGGTCAGGCTTGGAGCAGTGGTGTCGCTACGACTATCAGTACATTGCCACATGATATCCAGGCATACTGACCTTCCGGCTACAACCAGCGTTGCAGTGTCGCCGCTCAACCACCGTGCCCGCGAGGGGTCTAATCCGCGTTTGACGTGGTCCTCAATAAACCAAGATGCGATATCACGATCTGGGAGTGTTTTCTAGCTCTATATTAGCCAGGAGATCCATTGCCCGTATGTTTTCCACTACCTTCATCCGCCGAGCCATGCATTGATCACAAAATTCAAGCATTTGAAACCAGTGCCGGACCTTCCACAGCGACGGAATAAATGCAAACCCCAGTCTCGGGATCCATATTGCAGGACTAAACGGGCCTAGCAACGTGAGTGCCGAACGCAGCATCGCTATCGACGAATGCCACCTCTTACTACTCATCATTCCGAAATCCTCGCTGAAAGCAAATTCTCCCATCGAATCAAAAGCGAAGAAATACATTAGGTCATTGATGAGAATAGGGCTTGATTTCCCCAAAGCAACTAGGCTTTGCAGTGTTCGTACCTTTTCCACCATTCGCCGATGATACTGGAGCAATGCTGAACGACTGTGTCAGTGCTTAATGTATGTGAGTAATTCGATCCACCAGACCTTTTCTGCTCAGTGCTTGCTCCCACATTTTCCGCCGTTCATGGTGCAACTGACGGTCGCGAGTGAAGATTGAGGATATCCGGGGATACAGAAGGTCGTACCAATCAGAGCGCGTGTTATCATTGTCTGGACCATCCATGGCCTCATAGGCCTCGGGGTGGAATATGGTGATTTCGGCAGGACCTGAGTATATAAGCTCAATGTTATCAGGGAGTTCTACTTGATTGGGATATATCTTACCGGTTCGTACAAACTCCCCATATTTTTCGTGCCAGGCCTGCAAGACGAGATGTCCACGCGAATTACGGCATTTCCAAACATGCCATAATTTGGTCACTGCAGCTAATTTTGGACCGGGAAAGTGTTTCAATCGATGAAACATCAGCCGGTATACTGCAATGCTTATGAATAGTGATGAGAGATAGCATGTCGCCAAGTATATTGTCTCAACCAAGCCGGCTTGGGTGCTTCCACGGCCAAATAAATGCTTTGTCCATAATAGACAGCTAGAAAGAAGATGGAGAACGACAACCCTAGGGCCTTTCAGATGCCATTCCCCGTGAATAAAGACCAGTCGATGGGCCAGTAGGCCTGCAATAATTGCAACTACCCCTGGAGCTAACATGATGATGATGATCAAAACGAATATTTTAGGACAATAGCAATGGCTATTTCGAGGCTCAAAGTGGGACGACTCCTATGTGCTTTGTATCATTCAACGTCACTGTGAAGGAGAGACGAAAAGGCGACGTTGGACAACACTCGTCATTCAAAGCCATCGGAGGATATGGACCTAAACTCGGTCATTTTGGATATCTAGGTAACCTAACGTGCCAATGGTTCACCCCAGAAACTGCTCAACTATTTAGCTTGGTTTGATGCCTTGTCCGAGATATTTTAAAGTCTACAACCTTCTGCTTTCTATTGTGCTCTCATTTAACCGTTCGTTCTTCCTTCGTTCTTCATTCATTCCCAAAAGGCTGACCCTAAGGCTCAAATTCAACCGTGTGTGTGATGTAAATCCCCAACTCACCATACCATATACCATCAACTTCGATTGGACCATCAATACTCTTCAGTCATGAACCGATGTCTCTCAATTATCCAAAGCGCATTGAAAACTCTGTGGTACCAGTCGTATACCTTCTGGCTGTTCGTCTTCAGCGATTTAAAAACTATTGTGGCACCAAGTACCATTTTCGGAATCACAAACGCCTGGGCCGTGTCAAAATACGACCCGCAAGTTTCAGGAGCTTTGTCCCCTCCCCAAACCATAAGCGATACTCCAAAGTCGATTGGAAGAACTCTCGCGGCATTATCATGGATTCTGGTCAACTTGATCCCATTCGCCATCAACAACCAAAGGGGCGAAAAAGCCATTGCCGAGGACGGTTTGAACAAGCCATGGCGCCCCTTTCCTCGGGGCCGGATTTCTCACAAGTGGGGCACGCGAATAATGATCCTTCTATATCTATTCGCCCCGATATATAGTCTTACATTCTCCGGGGGAGTCCGACATTCTGTGACTTTGATATGGTTAGGGGTGTGGTACAATAACTGGGGTGGCGCGGACAGGAACCCGGTCATTCGGAATATTATTAACGGACTGGGGTATACCTGCTTCGCATCGGGGGCGATGGAAGTGGCCTTGGGCGGCTCTTTGCTCCCTCTTCACCCGCTTGGGTGGCTGGGACGGTGGCTTCTTGTCATCATCGGGGTTATTTTCTCCACCGTCCAATTGCAGGACATGTCCGATCAACCCGGGGATGCTAAACGCGGTCGGCGAACAGTGCCTCTGGTATGGGGTGATACTGCGGCGCGGTGGACTATTGCTATACCCATGGTCGGTTGGGGAATATGGTGTCCGATGTTCTGGGGTGTGTCATCTGTTTGGCTTACTATCAGCATCGCATTGGCTTTTCTGGTGGCCTTGCGGACTCTAGTAGTTCGTTCGGTTCAAGGGGATAAAAAGACATTTCGACTATGGAATTGTTGGATTGCGTTCATCTATATGCTGCCTCTGTTTTCTAAAGGGGCATCTCATGAACTTTTAAGCCAAGGTAGGTAAGAGCCGATGGACCCTAATTAGCACAATCAGCCTAATTAGCACTCTCATGTGATGGCGTCCCATCGCCATTAGCATTCATGCCTACCGTGTCTAGTGAAACTTGTATCATGGACATATTGTCCATGTCCGAGATATATATTCGGTGATAAGAACACCCTAATCCTAATTCCGAGATGAGCTTAAACCCCGCTCTAATCTCCAGCTAGGCATGACGTTGCCCTTCTCTGCCTTAAATATCGTCGTTTCAAGCTCTTTTTTTTTTTTCTGTTCTTCTTTTTGTCTTCGATCATCGATTTGAATATTCATCATGGGTTTCCTTTACTCGCAATTCTTCGTTACTCCCAAATATCCGAAACAGTCTTTCGCCGATCAAACGGTGCTCATCACCGGCGCCAATGTCGGCTTAGGCATGGAAGCTGCACGTCACATCACGCGACTAGGCGCCGCTCGAGTGATTCTTGGTGTTCGAAATGTGACTGCAGGCAAAGAGGCCAAAGCCGCCATTGAGAAATCTACAGGCCGCCCGGGCGTCTGTGAAGTGTGGGAGATCGACCTAGCCTCCAACGCCTCGGTCCTTGCCTTTGGCGAACGTATCTCGAAACTCCCCAAGCTCGACGTAGCCATCCTCAATGCAGCAATTGCCACAACGGAGTTCAGCACTGCCGAAGGATATGAGCGAAGTGTCACTGTCAATGTCATCAACACTCTACTCCTCGGCCTTCTTCTCCTGCCAATCCTGAAGGCCACGCGACAAAGGAACCCATCGCATACACCCCGACTTACCTTCGTTGTGAGCGAGGTACATGCATGGGTGGATTTCACAGAATGGAAGGAAGACGCGCCCATGAAAGTCGTTAGCGACCAAACAAAAGCCAAAATGGGCGAGCGGTACCCATTATCGAAGCTGCTCCAAGTGCTGCTTGTGCAGGAACTAGCAGGACGGGTGCGTGGATCAGAGGTGATCATCAACATGCTCAATCCTGGTCTCTGTCACTCACAGCTGGGGAGAGAGGGTGGTTTTAAGTTCGCAGTGATCAAAATGATATTGGCGCGATCGACCGAGGTTGGATCTCGAACGCTAGTGGCAGGCGCTGCAGCTGGACTTGAAAGCCACGGCGCATATATGACTGATGGATATGTGAAGAACATTATGCTTTCGCCTTTTGTGCGCAGTGACGAGGGGCGTCAAGCCCGTGAGAAACTATGGGCCGAGTTGTCGTCGATCCTTGAGGGTGTTCGACCTGGAATCATGCAGAATGTCTAATCTGGGACATGGGTATTTCTTGTAAATTGAGTCAATTAAATGAATATAATTCATCAGAACGGGCTAGACGTGCCTATTAAATTCCCTTCTCACATAATATCTTACGGAGTACGGAGTACATTGACTCCATCTGCAGCTGGAGTCTTCGTACTACTGCTACTCCACGGCTGACCATTCAAGACTGCCAAAATACAATGCAGGTCGGTGCTGATCTCCGATGTTGGATTGGTCAGACCGTGTTCATAGCCCTTTCCTTTTTTTTGATGTCCGTCTCACCTGGACCTTTCTTATTCGCAGAGAGCCCTCTGCGCTCGGCACAAATTGCTCGCTATGCTAGGTCGGACGCTGAGCCAGCCCATTTTCCAATAGAATGACCTCTCACAATAAACATTCCGTGAGTACGAAGTGATGGCGCTGTACGGAGTGCATCCTACAATTTTCCACACATGCCGAACTATGGCTATGATTTGCTCAATGAATCCCCCTGCCGTCAATAACGAGGTCTTATTGACTGCCCACTTGGTTCAACAAAGGGATCAGTGCCAAGGGATATGTTCAAAATGAGACAGCTTGTGTATGCCTGTTCCCTGTGCAAGTTGCCGTACATTTAGTCCAGGTAAATCCCTAATCTAAGACTGCGATACTTTATTTCTCCGCACTAGTTACTATTCATCTTCATCATGGCTCCTGTCCTGTTAGAACCCACAATTATTGTTTCCCAGCCCAGTACTGCTCCATTGAAAGTATCACTCAATAGTACTTTTACAAATGGAGTTGACCTGACCCTGAAGGTGCGTCCCTGGCGACTCCTGCACCTCGCCGATGCCCTCAACCCTCTCTCGCCCGCGCAAGAGGAACATCCGGATATTCATATCCAGCGACTACTCCAATTGGCCTGGGTTACTACTATCAGAGCATTTTCCTGTTCGACAACGCTATACATTAGTCAAGACTATCTGAATGGTGAATGCTACATAGGCGAGGCAGCTCATGGCTACTCGAAGCCGACCGTCCAGATTCACGTAGATCCTCATGATACCGTGAGAGATCTGTTCCGCGAGAGCATTGAAGCATTGGGTCCAATATCCCAGATCGAAGTTACGGAGAATGTCCACAACGGCCAGGCTGGTGATAATCCCGGCTTCAATGTGACAATCGTCTACCAGAAGCAACCGGTGGAGCGCATTCTGCCCGGTCAGGATGCATGCGTCGGGCATTGCCAGGTCTGCTGTGGCATACCGGCGAAAGAGCCATCGGAGGTTCACTCGATGTTCGCCGGTCTCCGACTTTCAATACACCATACCTCCGACTATAGGTTACACGCCAGATTGGATGTTGGAAACACTGGGATTGGACTGCCACTGGCTACAAGCCTCTTGAACAGCTTCAACCAGGCCCTCTCATCCATTGATGGCTCATTTACACAGAGCATCGGTACCCTCGAGTTGTGCTCGGGGCAAGATCGTGACCAGATCACCCAATTCACTGCAACCATCGAGCCTGCCCATGATGCCCTGCTGCATGACCTTTGTTTACAACACGCGAAGACAACACCCGATGCTCCCGCCGTTCGCTCCTGGGATGGCGATCTGACATATCGTCAACTCGAGGAATTGACCTCCCGATTGGCACATTGGCTAGTGGGACAAGGTGTCGGACCGAATATCTATGTGGCATGTGCCTTCTACAAATCCACCTGGGCTATTGTGGCCCGATTGGCTGTCCTCATGGCTGGTGGTGCGTACATCTGCGTTGATGGGAATGATCCACCGCCATATCTTGCATCCGCCCTCGAACGCACCCAGATAAAAATAATGCTCACCTCAGCCGGATACAAAGAAAGATTTGCCGGTCGGGTCGAAACACTCTTCGAGGTCAGCGAAACTTCGTTGTCGAGTTTGTCATTGAAGAATTCGATCCCTTGCTCAACAGTCACACCCACTGACCCTTGCGTTGTGCTCTTCACATCCGGCAGCACGGGAAAACCAAAGGGAATCATCCAAGAGCACCGTAGCTATGCTTCCGCATTAACAGATTACATCCGTGTCATGGACATGGGACCACATAGCCGGATGTTCCAATTCGATTCGTACACCTTCGACATCAGCAACAATGACTTCCTGGCGCCTCTGATGGCTGGTGGATGTTGCTGCGTTCCCACTAGGTCTCTGACGATGGAAGCTCTGATGCACGACATGAACGATCTGGGGGGGAACATAATGTTTATCACACCCTCCGTTGCCATTGACATGGAACCGGACTACGTCCCCACTTTGGAGACGATGTGTATTGGCGGCGAGCCAGTCTCAGACGCGGTACTGGCGAAATGGCTGGGCCGCGTGCAGGTGGTAAATCAATACGGCATGGGCGAGATAGCTTCTCTCTGCGCATATAATCGCAATCTCCAGATGGGTCGCGGGTCAGTCGTCGGTCGTCCTGCTACCGGTGCAATTTGGATCGTCAGTCCCGATAACCCCGACCAACTGATGCCCGTCGGAGCCATCGGCGAACTTCTCATCGAGGGCCCCCATCTTTCCAAGGGTTATCTAGACCATGTCTCTGGAAAATCGGAGAACTTCCTCGCCACGCCGCCTATTTGGATGGCGCAGCTGCATAACGAGAGACCACATCACCGTCTATATCGCTCTGGAGATCTAGGCCGGTACAACCATGATGGCACAATCGAGCTGATGGGCCGCAAGGATAGTATGCTCAAGCTCGACGGAGCGCGCGTCGAAGCCGGCCAAGTGGAGTACGTGCTCCGACGCAATTTGTCCACCGGCGATGCCGCTATCGTGGACATTCTCGGCGCTGTCGACGGCCAGGGCGATCCGATTCTTGGGGTTTACTTATACTTGACGAATAACCCCATGAACATGGAGAGTGGTCCGGTTGAAGAAATGGAATTCCGGCCGATCAGCGACAGGCACGCTGTCCACGCACTTACCCAGTCGCTGAGCGATGCGGTTCGCCAGAATTTGCCGAAGTACTATGTTCCTGCGCTGTATATCCTTATTGACAGAGTCCCGCGCACCAAATCTAAAAAGACAGATCGGCGCAAGCTTCATATGCTGGGACAGGCTTATTACATGGAACATCGGGAAGAGCTAGAGAGCATTACTGTGTGGTTGGATTGGAGTCAGATATAAATAGGTCTCATTCAATCTTGGAGTGAGTGGGCCTTTGGTTATTTGATATATTTCTGGTATTGATCTGGGAGGATATCGCATGCAAACCAAAACCACTATATATAGATATTTGGACGTCTATTCTCAGATGCAACGACCTTGGAAGATCGAAAAGAACCCTTTGCGGCCGGGCATAACATCAATACATCGATCAAATTGCGTGGCATTTCCACCTTTGCTTTGTCAACAAGTTTGTATTGTAGTGTTTCTATATGCTCATGAAAAACCTTTGTGAGGTAGCATCTGCCCGAACATGAATATCAGGATATGCCGTTTGCACAACATCATTTCATGGCCGGTTCACGGTGTAGAAACTAGGGCCAGGCGGGTGGTCTCCGCTCTTGGCGCGATTCCATCCTCGCCCGTGATGCTCTTCATCCATGTAAAACGATGACTTTTTCGAAATTAAATTCGGTTCACGTCCCGCGCACTCGTATTCCCGACCTGACACAAGAATCCGAGCTATAATTCCTAAGGCGAGGGATGTGGGGGGTCATGGCGGGGATAATAACCCCGCCAATAGCGCTGAGACCGTGCATGCCGGCGGCATGGCACAATGACGGCTCTCGGTATAGCGCAGCCGGCACTACGGCACTAGAAGCCGGAGTAGAAGAGCCTCGGGAGAGGGGGTTAATAGTTCCGCAAATTGTCTCAAATAGCGAAACAATTATGCGTCACCACCCACTCTCATCGCTCGTATGACCAAGCCCGGGGCAGTGACGGAAAGAAAGCATGCTCCATATCCTGGAACGCTAGATCCTCATTCATCATCATGGAAGAACCAATCGCAAACCCCGCGTCAGGGTCAACGGGCAGCCAATTTGATGTCATGCGGGTACTCCCATCCGGCATCTCGAGTGGTGTGAGACACTCCTCGTCTATTCGTGATTGTCGGCGGTGCGGGGAGGGGGAGCTGAAACTGTGGGTCTGATTGTGAGCCTGATACTGGGGGTCAAGTGCCGAGGCCCCGAAATCCGACGGCCCGAAATCGAATTGCATGTACTGGGCATCTTCGTGATCGGCTTCGCCTTCCCACCCGCTTGATGAAGCATGGCTTGGTTCTGGGGATGCGTTGGGATCTGAGGTTGGTGATCCAGGGAAAGGGAAGGCGAGGGTATTCGGGGTGGGAGTCATGAAGAGGGCTCTTTGCGTGGCAAGTTGGAGATCGGGGCGGGGATGGATCGGTGGATTCTCGGTGGCTTGGAATGGGGTTGATTGGTGGAGGGAGAAACTAGTTGCACATGTCAGTTACTTGGTTCTAGCTGCGCTCTTCTTTTTTTTTTGTTTCTCGCTAGTTTGGGGGTTTCTGAGCAAGGGCTAGGGTAAAATTTACCTTGTAGGGTCGGTTTTCTTGCCTCCACACTCCTCCCTCACTAGACCGGCATCATACCACATTTGCGGATATGGCTGAAGTGCGGTCGATTTAACCGGGTATTCATTCACCCAGTTGAACTGCTCGGCAGTCCAAGAGGGGTCCAGTTCCTCCTGCATTGGCAGAGGAAAGTCGCTGGCAATGAAAGGGTGCGGGCTGAGCCCATCGTGTTGCCCCATATGTGAATCAACGAGACTCTCCATGGGCCAGGAGGTAATCTCGTATGGGAGCTGAGCTTCAGTCATGGTGAATGTGCTGTATCTGTGACACGCTCAAATGATGGCGCAAGTAGAGGGAACAAAGCACAAATCAAGGAGCAAAGCTCTTGTTGAAGCTTGCAGTTGAATCTCTAGATATTTGTTATTTTCGTGAGACCTTGCTACCAGCATAAGAAAAAAAAGCAAAAGATGTAATTCCCCGCAAAACCGGGGTCATGCTGG